TCTTCTCTCTAAGTGATCAGACCATCTCTGAAAAAGGATCAGGAAAATATGGTAGGCATATGTATTAGGAAAGGGTACTTCCAACACTAAAATTAGATCTCATGGTTATGACAGTGTACAGAGCACTGCATATGCAAACATGAGGCATCCACAGAAGTGTGTGGGTCACAAAAACAATATGTATTAGTTGAAGTCCAGCAGTCATTCTCATTGTGTTGCTTCCTCAGTCTTTCTGAATCTTTGGCAAGCTGTCTTGAACAAGACTTTACATGAACATTTTGTGTTTTCTAATTCCCTTCTTTGCAATGTTCTACCATTAACCAAAATCTTCAGAATAGATGATAATATATTTCTTGTACTCTCTCCTGAAATACATGTTGAATCCTATTTGTTTCAGAAGTCTGTCTTGTCTTTTTTCAAATTTTATTTTATGACTGTGTATTCTGGCATGGTCTTTATTTTGTTCCAGTAGTTCTCCCATCCCTGAAAAATGCATGAGTCTTTCTGGCACACATCCTTTTCATTTGTCTATGATCAATGAAACAAAGTACTTTTTTAATTTTATAAGCATTTTCTGATTGCATCAGTGGAAAAGCTAACTGGACTATAGTGATGTGATACACTTCACTGCATCTTCAGTCATGTTTTCTTCTACTGGTAACACAATATTGGTATTTCTGCTAAATATAAGCTAAGAATGAAATACCCTTTAATATCAGGTATTACTCAGGCAGTGTGCAGACTTTCCTGAAAGAGAGTCGTGCAGATTAAACAGCTTAGATGGTTCATGTAAATAACTTCAGGCTTGTCAACCTTCTGAACCCAGTAACAGTATTTTCAAGTGGAATATTCCTCTGATGTGTATATTTATGCTTTAGGAAAGTTAAACACTGTTGTAACTTGGGCAACTGTCATCCCGGAACAGTGAGGAGAAGGATGTGATTTCTTCATCATTGACTGGGAAAATTAAAGTTCAGTTAAACATCTTTTTCCATTTTGAGATGTCAAATCCCTGTCAAATCTAATCTTTTGTTTTGTTGGGCAAATATTGTAGCTGCTAGTTTGGATATTGAGCTGTTTTGCTAGGTATTAAGCTCTGGCAATGAGAAAATCTACATGTACATAACTTTATTTATTATGTACAACTCTTTGATTTCAAGGAGTTTTTGCAGGATAGAAAACTTGCATTTGAACCATGTAACTTGCATTTGTAACCCCCTTAATTTCTTTATGCTGTTCTGCAGATATTGGTTCCTTGCTTCTCTTTGTGGTGTTAGGCATTTGTTTTCTTGAATTGATAGTAATTTTGTCAGCTTCCTAATTGAGGTGGTATTAATCACACCTTTCCCCCCCACTTCTGATACAAATTGTATTAATTTCTAACACCTACACTAAGATCTCAAATGGCAGGCATCAATCTTTTTATAAATGAAATGATTAAAGACTCTCAATGTAGAAGCCAAACCCCTTGACTTAGGTGTGGCTGCAGCAGAAGCATCTTCTTTGCATGCAATGTTCCAACTCAACTAGTGTTTGGGATGTTTATGTACGTGTTCTCATGGCAAGGCCCCAGACTGCTGAAAAATATTCCATAAAATGACTCACACTATTATGACAGAAGGTAGAGTCATTGAATGTTCCTTAAAGTGCATTTAATTTAATTTGTTCTTGATTAAGCATAAAACCACTTAATAGTGCTATTCAAATTGATATAAAATATATTTATAATACATGATAAATAGCTTCTAAAAAATTCATGTATTTTTGCTATAGCCTTAAAAAATGACAATGTTTGCCATGATAGATGATGCTTTTAAATCTAATGTTTACTTCAATTAATACAATTAAATGAATATGTATTAGAAGGATACTCATCTCAACAGCAATTTCAACAGTTAGTAGTATTTCCATTTAGTGGACAGGTTTCTCTGCAAGCTTACGGCACATAAAAATGACATTGTTTTCTATTTTAAATTGAGAAACCCCCCTCCACTACTAAACAAAAGGAACAATGTGGCAGTCTGATTTCCTGAGCCATGTTTTTTGGATGCATTTTTCTTGGGCTAAAAACATCGTTTACTGAGCTCTGGGAGGAAAGCTCCTTTTCCTGTGGCTTTGCAAGGTATCCCTCTATTATTTGCTAAGAGGAAGGGGTGACCTGCAGAGGGGTAGGCCCCAGGCAGCATGCATTTGCTGTGGCCAGTACCAGGTGCTTTAGCATTCAAGTCATAATACTTGTCGTTGCCCTTCCATAACCCATGAGTAGGCTAGTTCTCAGTCAGCTGTGTAGCTTTCTGTCTGCTTCCAAAAACTGAAGGCAAGCACTATTAAGACAGACATGAATGCCATTCTCTGTAGTATTTTCTTCTAGATCAAGACTTTAGAGAAATATAGACCATTTAATCTAGTTCAGTATGCTATGTGCTAAATGTATAATTAACTGAAAATAGCAGTACTCATTGCAGTTTTTCTATGTTCTTAAGGAGAAACGGGAATAACCATATTCTGGTAGGAGTTGCAGGGATGGGAGAGTATGTTTAAAAGATGGGGAGGCATCTCACAAAGTAGGCTTTTCTTCAGCTGGGGAGTGAAGCCACAGCACCAATGTAAAATGATGTATTATGCAAGAACAGTAGTTTTTATTGATTCTGTTACCCATATCACAGTGAGAAAAATGTTACCTCTTCTTCATCTAAATGAAAGCTTTATTCTAAGGAGATTATTGTGTCAGTGTCTCTGGAGCTTGCAGCTTGTTTTCGGGGAATAGTCAAGGCCTTTACAACTTGTTCTTTCATGTTCTGAGAGTTGGCAATCGAACAGGCAGTGTAAAAGATTATTCTTGGGACATTTTTATCAAGCATGAAACAAATTTAAAGAAGGTAGGAGGAAAAAAAATAACCAAACCAACAGTGTTACACTTAGAGAAACCTGATTGTCTTTTCAAAACTGCTGTTAAAGCAGTCATTATTACTCATACCATCTCTATTATTATGGCTGAAACAGGAGTGTTCAGTTTTCTAACACTGTCTTTTATTTTTCTTTAATTTTCTGTGCTGCTAAAAGCAATGGAAGGTATTGGTTTCATTGCATTGTTTTCGTTGCACTGAAATTTAGAGAAGAATAGTGTGAGCTTGATCATGCTTCCACTAAGCATATTGGAAGTGGAAAGTCCCACTGCTTTAGAAGGATTATATTGCACTGCTAAAGTTTTATTATTAATTAAATGTTCTTTATAGACATAATGGGTTCTGTGTTACCATCTGTCTTATAGACTTGTCTTCAAAAAAAGCCCAAGGAAACCAGTGATTCTAAATGGCTGAAAAGCAATAGATTTTTATTTACAGTGTCCTTGTAGTTAGTTCAAAGATGAACTTGTATTGAGTTTCCCAAAGTTAATACTATTTTGTTATCCATGGAATTTGGGGTATTGCCAAATGAAATGCTATCATTAATTTTGAACAATGTGATATTTAACAGTTTTATTTCTATCTGTTGCAATTATTTAAAGCTTCTGCTACATACAGCCAAGAAAATAGTTTCTCTAGAAACAAAAATGAGAAAATTAAAGAACTGAATTTTTCACTAAAAGTTGTATGCCATATTTTTTTCTTTTGGTGTTTTGTGAGTCTGGTTTTCAGTAGTGTAGGATTTCAGTAGCAAAGGTTTCAGACCCCTGTGGCTCTAGTTAGCTTCAGTGGGATGAATTTTTGCTCAGCATCTTTGGAAGTCCCTTCCTTTTTGGTGTTATGGCTAACAGAATTCCAGTGCTGAAAGAGGCGGAGAGTAATATACTCTGGACTGAGAACTGCAAAATCTAAAAGCCAAGTCCTACACAGCAAGCTAAAAGGACAACAGTAGTTTTGGTCTGTTCAGCCTGGAGCAGAGGAAACTGGGGAGAGACCTCCTTACAGTCTACAACTTCCTCATTGGAGGAAGAGGAGGGGCAGGCACTGATACCTTCTCTGTGGTGACAGTGACAGGACCCAAGGGAATGGCCTGAAGTTGTGTCAGGGGAGTTTTAGGTTGGATATTAGAAGAAAGTTCTTCACCCAAAGAGTGCTTGGGCACTGGAACAGGCTTCCCAGGGAAGTGATCACAGCACCAAGCCTGCCAGAGTTCAAGAAGCATTTGGATGATACTCTCAGGCACATGGTGTGACTGTTGGGGATGGTCCTGTGCAGGGCCAGGAGTTGAACTTGATGATCCTTGTGGGTCCCTTCCAACTCAGCATATTCTGTGATTCTGAAGCTTTACATTAATTTAAAACATTAAAGCAATGATGCTGATACAGAATTGGTACAGGATAATACTTTTGGGCCTTAAAAATGTTTACAGGTAAGATTGGCTTAAGACAAGCATTCCATTAAAACAAATGTATTGTGACTGGCAGTGGAGTTTAGCAGGATGAAGGTGTGAATGTGTAAGTGCAAGGAGCTAAGAGTTTTCTATAAGAGAACTGGCAGCAGTGTTTAACTGAAAGCAGGGCTTCAGTGTCAATGTCTGCCATTTGAAGACTTTGAAGCTCATCAGGAATAGGTTAAAGTGATATTTTTTGTGACTAAACCTTTTTACTCTGTGGGTTCTGACACGTGGTAAAGAATTTGATGAAGAATGACTAAAAACTTGTAAAAGCAGTAGAAATTAACTCCCTCGTGTAAAAGAGAAAAGTGAGTTCAACGCACAACCCCAAGTGCAGTGGAGAGGACAAGGCGTCATAATACAATGGCAGTGCACATGAATAAATATGCATAAGAAAATAGAGATGGATACAAGGGATGGATAGAAACATTAGCTTGTAGATAGAGAAGTGACAGTGTTGTAATTGCTTGTGTTTCTCAATTAGCAGTGACCTCAGCCTATTCACCTGATTTTAGTGAAATCCTTTTTAATGAAAACTCTGTTGCTGTATCCATCCATGCTCTTGGTTTGATTTACCAATACAGCAGTGATTTCAAACCGGTAAAGAGTTGTAACCAAGTGTTACTGTTCTTATTTGACAGGCCGGACCTGATAGACATGAATACCGTTGCTGTTCAAAGCAACCTTGCAAATTTAGAACATGCTTTTTTTGTAGCAGAAAAACTTGGTGTTGCCAGACTTCTGGATCCTGAAGGTAAGAGAGTTGCAGAGGGCTTTGTTGCAAAACCCCTAGCATTAAAATAAAATTCAATCTGCCTGCAGGTTGTAGCATATTTGCGGGCATTCTTACAACTATGTGATAAAGTGGTGTTCTGTCTTGCTCTTTTAGATGTTGATGTTTCCTCACCTGATGAGAAGTCAGTAATAACTTATGTGTCATCACTTTATGATGCATTTCCCAAAGTACCAGAAGGTGGTGAAGGCATCAGTGCAAATGTAAGTAAGAAAAAAATACTTGTGCTTCATTAATAAAATTCTGGATTTCAGATCCAGAATGTTAGCTGGATCTTCCATAGGAGTGCTGTCACACTTTTCTTTGACATGATTTTTCTAGGTTGAGATTTTAGAGTCTTAGCTGTTTCATATTGTGGACATGAAAATATCTGTGCTAAGAGCTTAACTAAAAACAATATACCTGAAGTTGGAAAAAGATCAATTCATAGTTCTTACTTTTCAGTCATGGACATATACATTTTGCCTCTCTGATTATTATCAATCTCAAGTTTACTAACCTAGAAAATACCGTGTTTTCAGTGGAATTATTTGGGACCAAATCATATATTTGGAAACTTTTAAGTGGGCTGTAATGAGCAAGTAAATATTGTTTCAGAATTGCAGGATTTCAAAATCTTTTTTTATATGTGTGAAGACCTCAGTCTTCAAAGCTGAAGCAGAAATGATGTCTCAGATGATTTTCATCTGTTCTGTAATCTGGGTTTTGCTTTGGCAGGATGTTGAAGTCAAATGGGTTGAATATCAGAATATGGTGAACTACCTCATGCAGTGGATCAGACACCATGTCATGATAATGTCTGACAGAACATTTCCCAACAATCCTGTGGAATTGAAGGTGAGATGTGATGACTTAAACTTTCTGTTGGAATTACACTTATGTTACTGACTCAAAGCAAGCTTGAACAAATGATGTGCTTATTGATTTATTCAATTAAAGCAACTCTAGAACAGTACTACTTCTTGACCTTTCCGAAGTAAATAAATACATTACTAACATATGAGCAACCAAAAGCAAATCTTTAGTTTTACACTGATCATTTTTTGTAGAACTGTGGTAGGACAGTATAAAGGTAAGCTTGTGAAGAATATTAGGAGAGGGTTTAGAGAAGAAGGTTATATTAACTATAAGTAAAAGCTGACAATGTTTTTTTATGTTTCTGTAGGCACTTTATAATCAATATTTACAGTTTAAAGAAACAGAAATTCCACCAAAGGAGACAGATAAATCAAAAATTAAACGTCTATATAAACTGCTAGAGGTAAGTTTTAGCATGCATTGAAATGTATAGAAGTTCCCTTTCTGTGGCTTAAAATAACAAATATGTATGAATTGTTAAGGTCTGGATAGAATTTGGACGCATCAAACTTTCTCAAGGCTACCATCCAAATGATATAGAAAAAGAATGGGGAAAGCTTATTATTGCCATGCTGGAAAGAGAGAAGACTCTTCGACCAGAAGTGGAGAGGTATGCTAGTGAATGTTGGACAGGCTTGGTTAATATATTTTCTGTTGTTTTAACCCATACTGAAATTTGTAAATACCTTCTTCCATGATAAATTCCACATTATTTTACTAGATCAAGTAATTGTACTTTTGTTCAAGGCCTGAAGCTCTTTACCTGCTTCATAGAGGCAGGTCCAGACAGAAATAACTTCTGTGGTCTCAGATGGTCAAGATGAACAGTATCTGTGCCTCAGATCATCAAAGCACTTACACACAAATATAGCCACCTTCTCTGTACAGTTAGTCAGAGCTGGGTTTATATCAGTTCACTGTCTCTTATAAGCACCATCCTCATCCTTTACATGAAATGTGTATTTCACTTGCTGCATAACTTTGTGGGCTAACATCCTGTTTAGAGATTGTTTGAGTTAGTTGTTCTCAAGAGCACACAAAACACTTAGATGTGCAAAATGCATAGTCGTATTCCATGGTAGTAGGATATGTGACACCGTTTTGTACATCGTAGTAACATACTAGCATGCTAGCAAATTACTGAGCATAATTAAACTCTTGATGCAGTCTGAGAACATTTCTCGTTTTTAATGGTATTTCTTAAATTCTGTGGCGGACACAGGTGTCATCCATTCATTAATTAAGAAAAACCCTCTTTTCTTTAAGTTAAGTGCTTTTTGGGGCTTCTGCATGTGGGTCTGGATAGACACCTGGGTCTGGATTCATTCTGCTTAACTTTAAGCATCCAAAGGACACACCTAAGATCTGAATCACTTTTTAGAGAATCCTGTCACTGACTTTCTGGTGACAATAGGGTGATCCTTCTCCTTGCTCCTAGGTACCTGAAAGTAGGTATGAAGAATCTGGATCATTGTATAGGAATTCCTCAGAAAGAGACAGATTTCAGCCAGAGAAGATCCCAATGGCAGTCAAAGTTAGTTAAATATGTGTCATGCTTACAAAAGCAAGAGCATGAAACAGCAGATTCAGTGGGAGGTGTTGATTCACAGCACCCTACTATGGAACAAGTTCCTATAGAGGAATACAAAGTTGTCCCCTGCAATACAGAGGTTGTCTGCTTTATGCAGAGCAGAATACTGGAAAGAAGCAGCAGAAATACAGCCTGCTAGGTCTTGTAGGTTAATCTATCCCAAGATGCCAAAAGCGAAGTTAGTGTCTGGCTTCACCAATAGAAATTCTGTTCATACTTGCAGAAAGCTGTATTATCTTTTTTGAGAAGATGTGTAAATGATGTTAGTTTATTTATTTTTTATTCATATGGATGGAGCACAGGTAAACAAATATGAACCTAAACTCCTTCCCATATTTCAGGAATGGTAAACAGAGTGACAGGTTGTAGAGTGATAGTCACTACCCGTGGTGGTCCCTGTAAAATGAGAGAGAAAATTGCTTTAAGTTATTCTGGCTTAGTCACCAAGTTAAGATTATCTGTTGTTCTGGGCACAAGAATGTCATCCATATCTGTTGTATTGGTTATCAGTGCATCTCATTAATATGAGGTGTTAATACAGCTCCTGGGGTGAAATTTGATTGTGGCAAAAATGTGACCTGTAATACTGAAATTTGGTAAGTAATAAAACTTTGCCTATAAGTCTGGTGAACACATCTGAAAGTATCAACACGGATAGACAATGTGTGGCCAGATTGGTGTATGGGATCAAACTTATTATGATGTCAGTGAGGAAAGTGCCAGACTGAGTTCTAGTTTGCAAAACTAGCAGAGTTTGGCATGCAGCAGGGGTGTGTCTGTGCCTTTGCTGTGCTCTCCTGTGTAAACAGTCACCTTGTGGGGTGGGTGTGGTTGTTCAGGAATCCTAAAAGCAGGGGGTGAAATACTGAAAAAAATCACCCCTAACTCAGGTTCTGAGTTAAAATGTAAAGGAAAGAGCAGTGATCAGATTTTTCTTACTTGTTTTGTGGTCAAAGCAGCAAGAAGCAATTGTCTGTGAATGTAGAAGAAGGTAAGAGGAAATTTTCAGGACAGAGTAGTGAGACGACAGTTAGTAAACATGCATGCTTGGACAGTGGAGTAGTGATGGTGGGTTGGATGGTGTACAGGTGTCTCAGATTATATTGTTATGAGCTGATTAACCATGATACTCTCCCAGTTTTATTGTGCATTTCCGTTTGAAGAAAAAGGAGTCAGCCCAACCTAGAAGTTTTTTGTACTGAACTGTTGAGTGAGGATTTCACACTTTGCTTGTTTTTGAAACTTTTCATTGAAGAGTGAGAAACACTGCAAAGAGTTCTTTTAGTTCTTACTTGGCTTTATAGTTATTTAGTGACACTTAAATAAAATATTTGGCATGTCTGTTTCCTAGAGACGCCCTGATGTTGCTGCCTAGTCTGTACTTGCAGAGCTTTATTGCAAGGTAGAGAAGCCAAAAGCAAGGTAGCATACATAGCCCCAGGTACAATCCTTTGAAAAGCTGGCAGAATATTAATTGCTGGGTTTTGAATGTGCGTACTCAAGCCTATTTAAAGGAGGAGTGCTAGGTGTTTCAAAAGCCAGTAGTGGAACTACATCCCTAGAAGCTGTACATTTTGTAGGAGTTTTATCTTTTCATTTTTCAGCAAATGTAAACAGCCAGAAGGACCGTACTCTGGATGTAAAAATGAATAGCAGTAGTTATAGCTATCATAGCAGCGATTCACTGTTTAGCAACAGCACTAGTACTCAAACCAGCGTTGATTCTAACGAGAATTTCCTTTCTGTTAATTGTGGTCCCACGCTGATTAAATCTTGTATAAGCTTTGGTAATGGCACCTTAGAAGGGAACAGGTAACTTGGCATATGTATTTGTGCTTTGTGTTAGATGCTGTTGATTCATTTGTTTGTTTTTAAAGTCATACAACACGATTGGTAAATATAAATAACTTTAATACTTATTGATTTTTCTGAAAAACTTTGGCATCACCTAGGTTGGAAATGCTGCAGCAAATTGCAAACAGAATTCAGCGGGACAGCCGGAGCTGTGAGGATAAACTGATACTTGCCCGGAACGCTCTGCAGTCTGTAAGTCAGTCAGTGATTTTACTTGTCTGTATTCATGAACTTATAGCAGTACAATGGCTACTTAAAAAAAAAACTCTTAAGGATTTTTGAATGCAACCTTCATAGCTGCTACTTTTGTTTTTGTTGTGCTGTTAATATAGCATGTCTTCAAGAAAATACCACAAATTGCCTAGAGTACGTTGTGTTACCTTCTCTTTTTGTCAGTAGTTAGATAAAATCCTTCACAGTTGTTTCGAGATCAGAAGAAGTTTTTACAAAAAAAAAATAAATTAGAAATTCTTACAGCTGATTTCCCTTTGGTTTAGCTGCAAGGCTTAATGACTTTCTCTTATTCATTAAGGACACCAAGCGATTAGAGTCAGGGCTCCAGTTCCAACATGAAGCAGAGATAGCTGGCTATATTCTTGAATCTGAGAACCTTCTCCGTCAGCAAGTGGTTGATGCCCAAATTCTTATTGATGGAAAATACTATCAAGCAGACCAGCTTGTTCAAAGGTACTTTACAGTGTGTTTATGTAAACAAGTAAGTGTCCCAAGTGTGGATACCCCTTACGGACAACATTTTCAGTCGGTGGATAAATTTATCAACCTGTCACTAGGCACCCAAATATCAGGTGGTTTGGTGGGTACATTGCCCACAAATATTGAAGACAAGAGGAACTGTTTGTACTTATTTGTGAAAATGAAGTAGTTTCCCTGAACATGCCTTAATGTTTAATGTCTACTAGATATTTGTGTGTAAAGATGTTAGCTTGTGTTATTGTACCTAAAATGTGTTTAGAATTCACTAACTTTGATTTTTTTTAAATGGGGGCAAGATTTTAGGTGATACCTATAGGTTTATTAACAGGTAATGAGTGAGGTAACATGAGGTTATATGTGGCAGTGTGTACAGTCTTGGCACAAAGAAGCATTTAAACAGCATAATTCAGTTTTATGAAGAAGTGGCTCTAAAGTTTTTTCAGGATGCGTCCTGGACTGGTTGAGATCAAGCACATAGCTCCTTGGCAGTGAACTGCAAGTGTTTGATCTACTGCAACATGTAGTATCTTGTAAGATTTCTGGTTTGCTGATTGTTCACTGGAATCGTGTATAGTGCATGTTAGTGCCCATACCATGCTGATTTTTTTAGTCATTGCCTGATTTCTTCATCTGTTATCTGTATAGAAGTATAAGCTGACATATTCTGTACTTTATGATAGAAGAGCTTTTTTATAGATATTTAAGTGTGACTAAAGTGTAAGGGATCGTGTGAATTCAAATCACTATTCAAATCAGTTCAGCATGATAAACCTTAATCATAAGCATTCATTGAAGTTATTTTTATTTATTTTTTCTCTTATTTTATTTTAATAGAGTTGCAAAACTTCGTGATGAACTGATGGCCTTACGGACTGAATGTTCTTCTGTGTACAACAAGGGGCATGCACTGACCACAGAGCAGACAAAGCTTATGATATCAGGAATAACCGAAAGCTTAAACTCAGGATTTACAACAAACCTAACCCCTGAAATAAATGCTGCAATGACCCAAGGTTTAACACCTACTTTGACTTCTTCCAGCTTGACATCTGGCCTTTCATCAGGTCTTACTTCCAGACTGACACCAACTATCACTCCCGCTTACCCACCAGGCATCCCACCACGGTTAATCCAGAGCTATGTGACAGGAGTAGACAGTGGGACTCTGCAAACACTCAAACTGATGCAAATCAGAAAACCTCTTATGAAATCAGCTTTCGTGGATCAGAATTTAACAGAAGAAGAGGTGAACATGAAATTTGTCCAGGACCTATTGAACTGGGTGGAAGAAATGCAGGTACCCATCTTTATGGAAACAGTCCACTTTTAATTATTATGTTTACTTCTTGTAGAACATGGCTAATTTTTTCTTTCTTTTTGTAAGGTGCAACTTGATCGAACAGAATGGGGTTCAGATTTGCCAAGTGTTGAAAGCCATTTGGAAAATCACAAAAATGTCCACAAAGCTATTGAGGAATTTGAATCCAGCCTTAAAGAAGCCAAAATGAGTGAGGTACTGCACCATATCCTTTATTTCTTTGGTTAATTTCTCACTGGGTGACCCATAAACTAATGTTGAATTTTAGAACTATGTTTGGGTTTCACAGTCTTACTTTTACTTCTGATCTCTGGATGACTTTTGATGAAATCAGAAGATCTAGCAGTTTAACATATCTAACCTTTCTGTTGTCTTTTGATCTCATATGCCAAATACAGATCCAAATGACTGCTCCTCTTAAACTCAGTTATGTGGAAAAATTGCACAAACTGGAGAGTCAGTATTCAAAGCTCTTGGTAAGTTCATCATTCCTCTTCCATGTCCAGCTTTTCAGTGTGCATAATCTCTCATAAGGGATGAACTTTAAATTCTGATTCTTGTAAATATTTTTCTTTTCTTTTTAATAAAGAACACATCGAGAAATCAGGAAAGGCATCTAGATACTCTTCACAATTTTGTGTCTCGTGCTACTAGAGAATTGATATGGCTGAATGAAAAAGAAGAGGAAGAGGTTGCATATGACTGGAGTGAGAGAAACTCCAATATAACAAGAAAAAAGGAATATCATGCAGTATGTATTGTTAGCATAATCCAGAGAGAATAATTAAGTAATCTTTGATAATTTAAGAGATTTCTAATACTTTTTTTTTCTTTGTCTGGAAAAAGGAATTAATGAGAGAACTTGATGAAAAAGAAGAAATTATAAAATCAGTACAAGAAATAGCTGAACAGTTGCTTCTTGAAAATCACCCAGCCAGGCTAACCATTGAAGTAAGTTAGTAAAAACAACACAGAAACAGCAAAAGTTTTGGGATTTAACAGAACTTAATTTTGGGGGAAAAAAGGGAAGTGCTAACTTAGATGAAATTAAACAAGACTCTAAATAAAAGGATCTTTTTTTCTTTGTTCTTCAGCATCTCTGTCATATCTGTATTCCAGTTTTCAAAAGATAACAACACTTTTATAAAGTTACAGATACATCTTGGATTGTTTAGATGAAATTCCCCTGAACTCTAAAATTAAAAGTTTCAGAGTTGGTCTGTACAGATGTTTCTGGTCTCGCACACAGCTTTTAGTGTTATTGATACAAATTGCATTAGCAGACCAAGGGCACAGAACAGTCCTTATGTGGTTTTTTTCCTGTTGGATTGAAAGAAGTTTCAGTGAGAGCTTTTCTAGTCGTTTCCTCTACCTGCAGGTTCCTATTATGATTTAGAGTTGGTTTCATAACTTATTTGTCAGTGAGCTATGAAACCTGTTTGGATGTTAAAAATATGACCAGGTGATTTACTTCAGGCTTGAATCAAGCACTATGTACAGAAAATTTACTGTAGCTGTTATAGGGTCATAACAGGTTTCCAAAGGAGAATGTACAATGTTTTTACTTGTAAATCTTCAAGAAAAGAGTAGATATAGACAGTAGGTGGTAAACATTGAAACAGTGAATAGCTGAGTTATTATATAAGAATAAAAAAAGTCAGAAAGAATGGATTTTTATTGTTCTTCAGCTCAGTGAGTTCACATCTTCCTAAATTGGAAACTTGAAGAAAACTCCTCCCTTCCTTCCTTCCCTCAACAATAAATGACTTTTTATGTAATGTGGGGATTTCTAGTCCTTAAAAGTATATGCAATTCTAATGGTTTCCTATCAGTGTAATATACTAATATATTAAAGATGCATATGATGAAACCAGGCCACCACAGTGACAATGACTGTGCAGGTTATGCTGTCTCCAGTAATGCTACACTGGGATATTTATTAAAAATAATAATAAAAAAATCCTTTTCTACAGAAGAACCTATGCATTAATGCATCACTTTGAAATTCCTTGAAGCCAGTGGAAAAGCTGTTTTGAATTCCCTGAGAATGGGAATTTAAAATCCGAAACCTGTGGCTGATTTCCTGGGGGCGAGAGCGCCCCCTGCTGGTGAAGGCGCTCTAAATTCCTGCGCGAGTGTCACACTAAGTTATCCATTGCGGCGAGTCCTGGTTGTTCCTTTTTTAATTGTGTAGTCAGTGGTACTTCAATATCCGATTTATGCCCAGGAAAGAATGCATCTATTTTGATTGAGTAAATAGAGATACAGAATTGTAGATGAGCTCAGACTGGAGGAACCTTTGGAGTTGTACTCCAGCTCTTGCTTGAAGCAGTGTCAGGGATTTGTTTGGCCCAACTCTGACCAGGCCAGAGGATGGTGATTTCACAGTCCCTCTGGGCAAGTTTTCTTATGTTTGACTACGCTGTAGTGACAGCGTTTTTTTCCCTCACATCTAATTGGAATTTTCCTTGCTGCAGCTTGCTTTTCCAGGGTGAGGAGGTCAAGTTTAGCTTCTTGTGTTTGCTATGTTGCTTTCATGTTTCCTAAAGGTATTCAAGTTTTAATTGTAATTTCCTTTTTTAAAATATCTCTCTCTTCCTTAAAGGCCTATAGAGCAGCAATGCAGACCCAATGGAGCTGGATTCTCCAGCTCTGTCACTGTGTTGAACAACATTTGAGAGAAAATGCTGCATATTTTGAGGTAAGAAAGTAAATCAGTAAAATTGTGAAATGTTTTAAGTTATGTCCATGGTCAAAAAGTTCCACCAGAAGTGCTAGTTGTTCTCTCACAGTAGTTGTAGAATTGACATTTGTCATGTACAGTCATTAGATGATGAGCTATGCTCCCACAGTGTTACCATGCCTGTATTTCTTCACTACAGTTATATCAGTTCACAGCAGATAAAAATTTGGCCTGAGATTTTTTTCAGTGATGCAGCTGGAGGTAGAGACTCTGAGAAAGAAGCCATGTTCTCTCCCTGTTGTGCACAACAGCTGTTAATACAGCTTCTGCAGATGATGTAGACTGGAGGATGGGAGAACATATTCTAAATGGTTATTCCAGGACTTCTCAGAAGGAAATAGAATGTACAGTATTAATAATAAATGGAGCAGAGAACACCCTGACAGCAGACAGGTCCAACGAAACACCCATTTGCTTGCCTGATTATCATCCATCCACTCAGCAAATGATGCAGAACTCAGTTACTGAGTTTTTGGTTTGTTAGTTTTTTTGGCTTTTAAAAAATCTACTTTTTGAAAATATTTAAATTATAAAGACTAATCTTTAGTGTCTTCTGGGTTGGATGACTGAAAATAAAAAGGATGTGGTGTTGGGATAAGATTCCTTTGGATTGAGAACGATGGAAGCCCAAAGTGAGGAAAAGGCCACTGCAGAAGACAAAGCAATTGTTGCTCCTACTGGTCAGGATAAGAAGTGGGAATTCTGGATTTAAGCAATGAGATTTAAGGGACAGAATAGGGGTGAGGATTGTCACAGGGCATTTCTGTTCCCAACTGTGCTTAACCAGGACCCTAGTTTGGGGGTGCAGATGCCCAGGCAGAACTGTCAAGTGTGGCAGCTCACTTCCCTTTCTACACAAAACGTTTGCCCCTCTGCTCCCTGGATTTTGCAGCTAGTTTCTACAATATATTCTTTATATATGAAAGTAATTGTAATTCCAAAGAAAGCTTGACTTCAGAAAATTTTTCCATTTCAGGAACAGTAATTAACTAAAGTTCAATAACTGCTCAATTAATTTTGCATTTATATAGTACCAAGAATAACTGGTGTGTGCCTTCTTGAAGAGTACATTTAGACATGAGGTCATGAATCTCTCTGCATGTGTGGTGCAATGGTCACTTCAAGCAACTAGAAAAGGTTATTTTTAAAAAGTCAGCACTTGAAATAAACTTTGGTGTAGCTGATTGTATACTTTTTAGGTTGTTTAAAAATAACCCTGGTATTTATCTCATCCTAGTTTTTCAGTGATGCCAAAGAAGCCATGGAATATTTGAAGAATTTGAAAGATACCATATACCGAAAATACAGTTGTGATAGATCAAGCAGTGTTCATAGGCTGGAAGACCTTGTCCAGGAGTCTATGGTAAGAATTCAAGGACCCTATTAACAGGAGTTACAATGAAACCAGAAATGTGTAGAATTATAGTTGGATATAAAATGCGTTGAGATTATTCATTTAAAGTGAAGGGAAAACAGTTCATTTTTCAGAACTTATAAATAAATAGTTGTATTTATCCATTTGCAAAGACTGTTTTTTACAACTTTAAAACACAGTATTATGTATTTCTTTGTATTTACAATACCAGATGGGGTAAACCAGTGGCTACAGAAAGATACTTTGTTCTTGTAAAATGTGTTACTTTTAAGATACACAGTAGAAGTCAGAAAAAGTAAAGCTTAACAGGATCAAAGAGGCAACCCTGAATTCTGGCCATCTCTTATGACGTATTCTTTTCTTAACTGTTTTAGGAAGAAAAAGAACAACTCTTGCAGTATAAGAGCACAGTAGCAGGCCTTGTGGGGAGAGCAAAGGCAATAATTCAGCTGAAGCCAAGAAACCCTGACTGTGTACTCAAAACATCCATCCCAATTAAAGCCATCTGTGACTATAGACAAATTGAGGTTAGAAACTTGAGTTTCTTCAAACCAATTACAGATGTGAAAATTCAGCTAAAGTTTTGTTAATTACCATGTTCTAGAGAAAGCTGGGCTCTAAATTTCTTCCACCCTAGTAAACAAGAGCAAATCCCTGTGTTGGAACATTGGTTTTGTTGTTCTGTTGCTTATTTGTAGACACCGTTTGCAGAAGTGCTTTGTACGATTATTTCGTAATGCTTGGCTCATCAAATTATTCTGCTTTTCTGTTAATACTAGATAACTATTTACAAAGATGATGAGTGTGTATTAGCAAACAACTCCCATCGTGCTAAATGGAAAGTCATTAGCCCAAGTGGTAATGAGGCCATGGTTCCATCTGTATGCTTTACAGTTCCTCCACCAAACAAAGAAGCAATAGATACAGCCAACAGGTAGGGACAAAACAAAACTGTCTATTTTCTGTTAAAATTAATTTATATGAAGCTTGGGTTAAAAGAATATCTTACAGGGTGTTTTTGTGTGGGTTTTTTTTTTCTTTTTCACGTGTTACCCTGATCTAAAGTTGGAATTTTTTCATATTTCAGGATTGAACAGCAATTTCAGAATGTTCTGGCCCTTTGGCATGAGTCACATGTAAACATGAAGAGTGTGGTGTCCTGGCATTACCTGACAAATGAAATTGAAGCTGTTAGAGCTGGCAATGTTGCCTCGGTATGTGCTATGACTAGGAAGGGCTCTTAACCATTTGCTGGGAAGTCATAGGATACACTTCCTGGAAATGTATAATCAGTGATTTACAGCAATCCTCATCTTCCTTGTGGGATTAGCTGGCAGCAGTGGCCATGCTGGTTACCAGTGTGCAATGTTCTGCCCTGATCTGAGCAGTCTTTTCACAGCTACATTTGGGGAAGGAGCAGAGCAGGGGTGTTAGGAAAACTGCTCACAGCCTGGTCTCCTGTTGTGAGCAGAGACCTCTTGAAAGCAATGAACAGTAACTAAATTCTGCATTTTGTCTGCAATAGTCTACCTTTCTGCATTTATGGGAAGATTAGCTTCATTAGGCTAAGGTTTATCTTCCTGAAGATGGCCATTATTTCTTCATGCTACAACTTCTGACTAACAGTGGAACACCTGTGAAGCAACATTTAGTCTTTCAAGCTGAGGACAGCTGAACACTCATTCCTCCATAATGCATTTTTTCATTCTCGTACATATCTGTAACTTGAAATGGGAACTGTGTGAGTGATGCTCTGACTGTGCTTTGGGTTTATAATCTATTGCAGATAAAGACGATGCTGCCAGGTGAACATCAGCAGGTTCTAAGCAATTTGCAGTCCCGCTTTGATGATTTTTTGGAAGACAGCCAGGAGTCCAAAATCTTTACAAGCTCCGATACAGCACAGCTGGAAAGGGAGGTTAATGTTTGCAAGCAATACTATCAAGAGCTTCTTAAGTCTGCAGAAAGAGGTAAAACTTAGTTTAGTGTGCTAGAAAGATGCCCTCATGAAACAGATTTTAGTTCTTGATCCTGAGACCTGTTTTATCATATTGATACTGTTATCACCTCAATTCTTTTGAACAGAGTTGTTTTCACAATGTGCACAATTATATTGTACTGAAACTCTAATTTTTGTATTAACTTTGTATATATTAACTTGTGTACCAAATATTGTTGTGTTACTTAATATATAGAGTACTACAAAAAATTTACACCCAAGAATTTATTACGTGCCTTACAGCTCACTGTTTAGTCATGCCTTTCTTGCTTTTGAATGCTGGAAATACAACTTGGTTACTTTGTTGATTTCATAACAGAATTAAAACTTTTTTCAGACTGTTAAGGCAAGAAAAGCATCCTAGGTATTTCCCTAGCTTCACAGAATGCTTGTAGTTACTGTTCTCTTAACGTACTTTTTAATACATTGAGAATAGAAAGCTTAAAACGTCTGTTCTGATTTACTGTTGAGTAAATCAGTAATTTAAAGAAATACAGTAGGGCAAAGCTGATTGCTTTATTAGCATAGTTCACTGCACTTCAGGAAAGATGTGTTACCCTGTGCACTGGAAAGAGAGAATTTAAGGTACCTGATATCACTGGTTGAGAGAATCAGTCACTGAGCTTAGCAAAGTCTGCATAGGGGTGATGCCTGTGCCTGGGATGCATGGCCACAGACAAAAGTTTTCCATGGGTGACGAGATGATCTAATAACAGTAAAAATTAAGGGTCCCTGAAATTTTCATTATAGCCAAAATTCCAATGGAAACTGATGGCATTTCAGCCAGTCACAGAAAGACTTCACACAGAATCGCACAGAATATGCCAAGTTGGAAGGGACCCATAAAGATCATTGAGTCCAACCCTTGTAGAACAATGACTTTATGAAGTGTTTCATGAGACAATATGTTGAAAATGACATGATGACTTTGCTTATAACATGTACCTTATTTCTTTCAACAGAGGAGCAGGAAGAATCTATTTACAATCTGTACATCTCTGAAGTCAGAAATATCAGACTACGGCTAGAGACTTGTGAGGAGCGGTTAATACGGCAGATCCGAACACCAATGGAAAGGGATGATGTACATGAAAATGTGCTTAGGATTTCAGAGCAAGAGGTGAGCCTTTGAGAAAGTCTGTTTTACCTAGGGAAAGAGTTTTATTTAAAAACAAATATATGCAGGCATTTTGAGTGTAACCAGGGAGGTTTACACTGCATCTTGTAAAGACAAGTCAAATATTATGCTTGGGTTTATGAGAAAAAGAAGATGATAAATGGTGATGATAATCACCACTTGATAAATCACCAGATGATAAATTCTGTTAGTTTCCCTATTATATTTGTTTCCTTTCATTATTTTTTATGTTGTCCACGTAAAGCAAGCAAAGGGCATACCTGTACTGATAGTGATATGTAGAGTATGTATCAGGTTGATGTAGGATGAAAGCACTGTCAGTCACCTTTCATTTTACAGAAACTGAAGAAAGAACTGGATCGACTGAAGGATGACTTGGGAGCCATCACAGATAAATGTGAAGAGTTTTTCAGTCAAGCTGCTGGTTCACCTTCAGTCCCTACCCTGCGCTCTGAGCTCAATGTTGTTATTCAAAACATGAATCAAGTTTATTCCATGTCTTCCATTTTCATAGATAAGTATGTACTATGGTATCTTTCATCACACCTTTTAGTTCACAGTTTTCTCTTCAAAATGAATTGAAGATATTAGTATGAATAATATTGATCTAGGAAAGGGGAGTTAATATTTTAACATTTTATAAAGGGGTACCCCATGATATGAAAAGACTGAAGAACACAAGTGTGTTGAATGTTGTTATTGATGGTTCAGTTAACAGGAGATTACTGTTTTTCAGATTAAAAACTATAAATTTGGTCCTGACGAACACCCAAACAGCAGAATCATTAGTGAAACACTATGAAACTAAGTTGTGTGAAGAAGAGGCAGTAATGGCTGACAAAAACCATATTGAAAACCTGATGGGTACATTAAAGGTAAGAGTTTGCTGGTGCTTTCTCATGGGCAAATAAAAAAATAAGACAAAAAGTATCTATCTTGTAACACCTGACTTGGTTATGCTATACTGTATAGTGTATCAAAAATTGGCTTGTGTATTTAGTTTTAGCCTTCATTGGGATTGACATCTCAAAAAACTATTACTTCAGAGCATTAGGAATTGGATAGTTTGAAAGCATGTTCCTGCTGTTACAAAATGCTGTGAAGTATTTGAACTTCCAAGCGTGGCACTTGTTAATGCTGCAGTAAGATTTTTTCTCTTCACAAGGTATCATATACGTAAGGTAACATAAACATAGAGTTATATTTATGTTATATAAACATGACCACACTAGCATTCCTACTATTGCTATAATATATTAATCAGGCTTTCCTAGGAAGCTGGGCATATATCTTTGAGAAATGGAAAGATTGAACTTAAGCATTTTTTGTTTGCTGTATATACCTCATTTTGATATTGCAAAATATGAGTAATGCTTTTATTTGTTAGAGTGATTGGCATCTACCTAATGATTTTTTTGAAAGATGTAGTTTATGAAGTAATTGTGTTAATTTAATGGCTCTGTTTTGATCTACGTGTCTTAGGGGTTGCTGTTGCTAAGAATTATTTTGCGTTTTATAGCTATTACTTGCTACAGACCCATTCTGGTACCGTTTGAGTATTTGAGCAAGCAGAAGTGAAATATTAATTAAAACATTTTGATTGATTAATTTATACATTTTACTCATGCAAAATACTAATTTATAAAACAGTGTCATAATTTATGAGTTATTTACAATTTTTCATTTCTCATATACTAGCAATGGAGATCTGAAGTAGATGAAAAAAGACAAACATTCCATGCCTTAGAGGATGAACTGCAGAAGGCAAAGATGATCAGTGATCAGATGTTTAAAATGCACAAGGAACGTGATCTTGACTTTGACTGGCATAAAGAAAAAGTGGACCAGTTGGCTGAGAGGTGGCAAAATGTTCATTGTCAAATTGAAAATAGGTTTGTGTAACTTTTTATTATAAATTGTTCATGTTCTATACTGGTTTTATTATTTCTGAGGAAAAATAATCAGAAATTCATACTAAAACAGGTCTGAATAGTTTTCTGAGCTGTTTTTGAAATTTGCTAAGATGAATACCTGTTTTGTGCTGCTGACATCATTGCCTGACTTTTCAACAGGCATTGTCTGTGACTATTAAGCACCAAAAGATGATCAAGATTATTTACTTACACCTTACCGATACATAGTAGAGATACATTCTCTTTCTTCTTCTTCTTCAAAAAAAAAACCAACAGAAAAAACCTATAGAAGTGGCTGGCAGTCCTATGGAAATACCATCTGTTTCTCCTCGTAATTAGTTCTGCCAGGCTAAACTGATGAAGTGATTCATCAGTTATGATTGGACTCATGTTAATTTGCTTTTGATGATTCAAGTGCTAAGTCTGGAAGTCCTTAGCTTCCATTGACTTCTGTGATAATTTTGATGCAATAACTTTTTGGTGAAGTGCCTCTTTTTTTTTTTTATGTGTGTGTGTGTGCGCAGCCTCAATATCCAGTTGAGATGTTGCTCTAAATTCAAACCTTTACTGTCAAGTTGATATTGAAAAATGTTACTCAAATACACAAGCCTATACAGATGTGCAGATACAGCAGAACACACCTACCTGTAGTTCTGAAGGAGATGTCCATACATGACTTTCCAGGAAATACTTTTGACTTCAGCCTCTACAGTTCTGTTTCCCATATGTAAAGGAAGCAGAACTGTAGAGACTGAAGGACAAAATATAAGCAAGTTGAAGAAGTCTGTACTATACAGTCTGAATTTATTTTCTTTAAAATGTACTTCAGTTTGTCATTTTAGATAACCTGAACAAGAGCGTTGAAGATAGTGCTGTTGATATAAAAGTTCACAAAACAACCTGTCACATTTTTGTCCTTCTTTTCTAAGGGGTGAATATCCATTCAGGTGCAATACTGAAGTTTTTCACTTGCAATTAACTAATTTAGTTAATTTTTCATCATTTGATAGTTTAACATAATTTAAATGATTAAACAGTGGGTTTATGAGTTACTGAAATTTCCTTATTTCCTCAGAGAGTAAACATGAACCACATGCTTTCCTCACAGGACTCCATCCTGAATAGACTATGCTGAAAAATGGCTGTTAAAGCGTAGTGGCTTCTGGTGTAAACAAGACAGACTGTGGTAGCTGCAGCACAGAGCTGTAAAGAGGCTGCTTTCTGCAAATGTTATCTCTGCTGCTTCCTACCAGCTTAACACTGATGATCATTATACAAAAAATATGTACAAATATTGGCTGCAGTTACCATGATCCTTTCTCTTTTTCATGGTTATTAGCTTTAAAACATGCTTAAGTATGAAACCTGAGTAATACAATTTCCTTTGCTTGCTCTTTTTGGTATCTTAAGAACAACGCTAGAGTGATTCCAAGTATTCATTCCTAGTCAAACTGTAAAAAGCTGTGTAATAAGTATGTTTATCCTGCAGTGTTGAGTGGTCATATTTATATGATCTTTTAAGTAGAATCTTAGAATATCCTGAGTTGGAAGGGAGCCACAAGGATCAAGTGTAACTCCTGGCTCTGCACAGAGCAACTGCCAAAATCACACCATGATAATGTGTAACAGTATAAGGATCGTGAAAGAAGAAGTCAGTATTTCTATCAGTATGAAAATGAATTTGAAAAAATACACAGAACTCTCTTTACAGGTCAAAACCATGATTTAAAAATGGCCATACAGGATTGATTACTTTTGAGCATTAGCAGTCTTCAGTTTTAGTGTAATTCTGTTGTTCTGTGGGCACAAAGTATATGCTACTGCTACTTAACTCCAGCACAGCACACTTCTTCTTGTCCCATAGGTCACATTTGAAATACTCTCTCTTCTTGTAACAGAATTGATTGCTGTTGCAGAGCCCTCCCTCTTCCTTATGGTTTCCTGTGCTCATTGAGTTTCAAGCAGATGAGCACAATAATAAGGGATATAAGCAGAGCTTCTTCTGTAGTAGGATCCTTCCTGGATGTCCTTTATGACAAATGAAAAGGCTTCATGAAGCCGGGAGTCTTGGTGTTTGAGAAGTGAATTTACTGTTTATTGAGTTTTATTTTAGTATGTTTAAAGTGTGAGTTGTAGCAGAGTTAAGGCATTCAAACCCTTTAAAGTTGCATTTTTTGTCTTTAATAATCATCTTCTCCCCCTTTACCTATCTTCTAAAATAAAATCAGGTTGCGTGACTTAGAAGGTATTAATAAATCTCTGAAGTATTATAAAGATACTTACAATTCTTTGGACACTTGGATTCAACAAGTAGAAGATACTCAGCGAAAGATTCAAGAAATACACCCTGAAAATAGCAAAGCATTGGCTAAACAGTTGAACCAACATAAGGTATGAAAGGGATGTCCTTGTGGAAAAGCACTGCTGTAATGACCAAAGAATTATAATATCAGTTTAACCCAGTGATGTCAGTCTTCTTTATTATTAGGTGCTTGTATCCATCAACCCTTACTGTAAAATGCCAAGTAATCATGAGATTATATGATTTTATGTTTATAATGCAGCCATGGGTATATCACTGATGATTGTAATTTTATAGACCAGATTGTGTGGTCTTCAAATCTGCAAAGAAGATCAAAACCTTAAAAATTCTGGACTCTTCTTATCACATAATTTTGTATTCAGTACTGCTCTTGGTATTTATGGATGTAGAAATATTTTCATGGAAGCAGACCTAAACTTAACAGCTGTCTTCTGCAAGAAGGAAATGCAACTTCAATAAGAGACAAAATAACAAATTATATGCATGAAATAGTGTATTCCTGATTTTGGTTTAAGTTCACTCACCACCCATTAAAGCTGGCAGATTTTTTCACTTCTTTTGTACCATAAATCTGACGAAGCTCAGGCTTGAGCATAATTACTTGTACACGCATGGATAGGAGCATATTAAATGTTTGATAAACTAGATGTTAGATAAGCATCTACTTATGTTAGATGATGCCAGATAAAGTAAAAATGTTAATTATAATAGTAATAAAAATAACTTTTTAAGATAATTATGTAGATTCATATTTTACAGATGCTGGTTTCTGAGATTGAAATGAAACAAAGCAAAATAGACGAATGCCAGAAGTATTCAGAGCAATACTCTGCTGCTGTGAAGGTAACAAATAACATTACACTTGTAATCCTATTGTTTTAGTGTCAGTATCACGTGGGATGCCAATCATTTAGTGTATTTTCTCTTTTACAGGACTATGAGTTACAGACCATGACCTACAGAGCTATGGTTGACTCCCAACAAAAATCTCCAGTGAAGCGCCGAAGAATACAAAGCTCATCAGACTTCATTATTCAAGAGGTAAATGGATTTCTTGTGACAGGAAAATGTGCGTCTTTGCTTAAAACAGCGTAAACACAAGAGTAGGTTTTTGGATTTATTAATTATTAAATAGGATAACCCAAGCAAGATTATTTTTTTCTCTATATGTGATATGATAAATATTCTCTTGGTCATTGTGCTGTATTTAGGCAACAAAACTGTATATTGCAGTTGATGAACAAAAGTAATCCAAATAATAAAAAGCTGTATGAGAATTTTACCTCAGGAAAACTATTCATTACTACCTCTGGGCTGGACCTTGATCACAGTAAACAGGGTCAGCGTTCATCTTGACTAAGGTAAAACTTACCAGATCTGGACGTTTTGACAGATTCCAAGGCAAATTAGCCTCATTTGGGTGGGAAAGATAAATCTGCCTCTCTGATAACTGTAAGAGAGAGGAATAGTGACCAGCACTGCTTGCCCCTCTTATAAGGGGCAGTTTTGGCTGTGAAGTCAAAACACTGTCTTCTATTTCTTCTCTTTATGGATCTCCTCATAGATCCTTAGGATTTATTAGTGCAAGTGGACCCTGTCGATGGCATTAAACTTTAGAATCAAACTTAGGACTTTGGATTCTACAATCAGAATTTTGAGATGAGAATTGGGATAGGTTCTAGATTAGTGTTTATCACTTATTTTGAGGTTAATTGGAGTGTTTTCCTTTGTCGTACCTCTCTCCCCCCTTTGTTTCTCTCTAGTTCATGGATTTACGGACTCGTTATACTGCCTTGGTGACCTTGATGACCCAATACATTAAGTTTGCAGGTGACTCTTTGAAAAGACTGGAGGAGGAAGAGGTAGGTCCTTCCCTGTCAGTCAACCAAGCAAATAGAACATCTAGGCAAACAAACAGCAATATACCTGTTGGAATGATTCACAAAACTAAAATTTGTTATGTAGTGCACATTATACAGGAATGTAGCTCCGTACCATCCATACATGTTGCCAGTTCCTCCAGCTAAAAGGATCATGTGATTCACTAAATTCTGATGGAGACATAGCTACATACATTCAATTTTAATACTTTAATATATTAGGGCTTGATCTTTTGTATAAATGCAGACATTAAGATGAGGACAAACTTACTGTGCATGCACCATTGATATCCTGTGTAGGCCTCTTAATATTCCATAGTATGCATTCTGGTCCACTTAACAACATGTAAGGAAGTTCTTTTAACAGGGAGGTATGATGCCCTCTTAATTAATTTCTGAAATGTCTTTGACATTTTCAGATACTTTTTTCCATTTGTCCTTCTACCACATTGTTTCCTTGGGGTCAAACAGCATTTTATTTATACTTCATGTTGAATCTTATTAACAAGAGTAGGTTACTGAAGTTAGAGTATTCAAAATACATGTTTCCTGGAGAGTCAGCCTTCCAAATAATTGAGAAAAAATACTTCTGAATTCTTCACTTTCTTTTGAAATCTTTCTTTCTGGAAGAGATTATATATAGTCATTCTTTAAGGACTACATTATTTTAGTATAAACTTTATAAATTGGATTAAATTGAAGAACACTATCATATGGGTATAAATTTTAATGTTATTGTTACAGGAAAAAAACAGAGTTCTATAATTCTGGTGCTGGCTTTGTCTTTATTGGCTTTTCTTGCTATTAAATTACCTCTGAACCAACTGTAACACTAACAGCATTGCATCTTTGTGCATCAAGTGGTGGAGCAAACTGATGGAAATATATAATATTTGTTGCTAAGTAACCATCATAACTGAAGATTTAGTATGACTTATAAAGTTAATGTCATCAAAGATAAAAAGTCAAGCAAAGAACAAGGATCAGGAAACCTGTGAATGTCAATAGGCTTCATGTTCTTCAAGAACAAATGGAATTTCTCAAAACGTTTTGAGTTTCAGTCTGCTCTGAGTCTCCAGTACTGCTTTTTTGGAAATCCAATACTCCCCATCTTCCCTCCTCATCCACTCCCTGGCAGCTTTCTAAATTTTTGGTAGCTTCTTTGAAGATAACTTAAGCAGGTTTCCAGTCTCAAAATAATATGATGGGTTTTTTCTTTGCAATCAGAGTAGCAAATCAGAAAAATAATAATCCTTTTCAAAGGAGGAATGATATTTTTTTTTTTCTTTTGGGATCAGACTTCTGAAGTCTGTGATTGTTCCAAGATTTTCTTTCATGCCAATCTTCTTTCCTAACTCTCAGTATTGGCATTAAGAATGCACAGAATAAAGAAAAAATAAGATGCTTTCTGTGATATCTCAATTTAATCCATATGCTGTCATGCTCAGAGTTTACCAGAAGAGAGTGAACTCCAGCAACCTGTGAAGTCAGCCGAAGTCTTTCAACGTTTGGATGGCAATGAAGCTGTTGAACTGAGAGAGGAAAATAAACCTAATGAATGCACGATGGATGTGAAATATTTGCAAAAAGATAACTCTTCCAGTAAACCTGAACACACAGAAAATAAATTGGAAATTGACAGGAGAAAATTAAATGTAGACAGATATGATAAAATCAAAACTGATAGAATATTAAAGCAACTTTTAAATTTCAGTGGTCAAGAAAGTAGCATTAGTGGCAACAGAGACAATAAGCTACATAGAGAGCAGGAGAGTTTAAGGGGTTTTGGTAATCAAAGTAAAGAAGAAAAAAATGGCAGAAAAGATTTTTTTGTTTCATCTCAGGTCCGTGTGAGTGTGAATAATGATCCTGGTGAAATGTTAAATGAGAAAATTGTTAATGGAGAAAGATGGAAAACAGAGGGAATATCAAAGAAGTTGCCTGGAGTGGAAATTATACACAAAACCACAGGAAAAAAGAATTCAAGAAAGGCAGGGAGTGATGTTTCAACAAAGGAAGAATGTGAGTTGCAATCAGAAACTAATTTTGAGCTAACAATGAAGAAAGCTGAAGTCACTCCAGAAGCTGGAAAGCATGCCCTTGGTATCAGCCCTCACAAACAGCAATATTTTTCACCTCATTTCGAATGTCAGCATAAAGAACATTGCCTTACAGAAAGCAATAGCCACAATACTTTAAACTCTGAAGACAGAGAGTTTCAAGTGTGTTATGAAAAAGATGATTCTCTTTCAGGTGCAAGGGATGCAACATCTCTAGAGAAAGTTGCATCCTCTTTCAGAGAGCTGACAGTGCGCAGTGGAAGTGAAAAAACAAAGTTAAATTTACAATCTATGAGCAATCCAGATGTTTATTGTAATGTTGAAACAGATACTGTCAAACTGCAGAGAGAATCTCTGGATAAAAGTTATTTCCTAGTAGAAAACAAAATCCTAGAAAAATCAAATTTAAATCCAAATGAAGCCAAGAGTACAATGCAAGAAATTCCAGCTGTTTCTTCAGGAAATGTTTCAGAGACCCATTATGCAGAAAAAGTCTCTGAATCTTATCCATTAGATTTTGAAGTGTCACCAGTGCAGAATGATCAAAGTTTAGGTACAGAAAATGCTGGTGATTTAAATGCAGATTTTGGCCTCTCAAAAATTATTTCTGGAGAAGAGGATTATTTTCCATTATCAGAACATGGATTAACAAAAAAGCTTTTGAGTCAAAATGAGAAACTAAGTGTGAAGAAAATATCAGAGGGCAACATTTATGGTTTGGGCAACATAAATATAAGTGGGAAGAAGCAGAGTGGAGAAGACAGGTTAGAAGAGGGTCAGAAATGTAAAAATTTATTGCTAGTTGCAGAAATGATCGGTAGAGATGAGGCTCATAGCACAAATGTACCCAGAAAAAACACTAAGCTCCAGAAGACATTTTGGGAAAAATTAGGGAAAAGAACCTCATTTGAAAAAAAAGAAAAGCAAAAAAAAAGAGACAAAGATAATGAAGAGAAAAGAAGCACAACTATTATTAAGGTACCAGAGTTTTTATGCAATGCAAATAAAACAGTTAATCTAAGAATGATTCTAAATCAATCCAAATCAACATTTGAATCTCAAAATATGTCAAGTGATTTAAGGTTGATTGAACATAATTTAAACAATGAATATGCGAATTATGTATCAATTACTGTGCATTTTGAGATACCTAATTTTAAAATTCCTAGACATTTATTTTTATATTTATTTTGTGTTACTATTTGCCATCCTTTTCTCCACCCAGCTGATGCTCAGCCATGTTGATTAGCAAAAATGAAATCTAAGAAGATATAGGTTGTGACTGTATCTGTATTTTTAGTTCTTCTTTTTCAAGCATAATACATTAGATTTTGTGTCTATGGGAGCATAAGAGATCTGATAACAAATCAATTTAAACATTTTGTTTCCATTGGGGGCTGTTCAAAATTTTAATACAGAGAAATATGGAGACGAATTGAGGAAGCTGCCTTTGCATTAGCCTTTTAGGAAACGTTTCATATATCATGTGAAGAATGAAGTAAATCTGGCAATTTTAACTAACCTGACATTTTGTTTGTTTGAAAATGTTGCTATAATTACCCTTCGTGCCCTGTTTTTATGATCACAGGAATATAGAGGGTTTCTTACCTCATGTTAGCTCATATTTGGTATCTTAACACCATAATAATGCTAATAAGGACAAGGTATGTATAGCTTCAACCATATTATTACTGGTGATTGCACATCTTGCTTGTAAGACTTGCCCTGGATCTGCTGATATACGGAGACTACTAGCCAACCAGTTTTCACTAGGATTTCCTAATTGCCATGTTTATACTTCTGTGCTTACAATGCAGAGCAGCTGTGCTCTTACCAGTCCCCTGGCTGCGCCAGTGGAGGCATTGGGACTGTGGAGCACACTATGGATCAGAGACGTGCTGGGGTTTATATACTTCTCTTTCTTGAGCTGTTGCACTGTTTCTGTTCTTGGAGGGGAGTTCAGAACATGTGTGTTATTTTTGCTTGCAAGCCCTAGTCCTTCGTCCAGTTTCCGCTGAACTGATCCACAAATGGTAGACCACTTTTCTTCTTGAGGATTCTTGCACACTCTGTTTGGCTTACTGTTTGCTCTGCCTATTTGTTTGGAGAGAAAGCCTATGTGAGCTGTTTGGCATTGCTTACTGCTAAGAGGCATCTGACTGAAATGAGAGCCTTCAGGACCTCTTTGCTTTGTGAATGTCTTTGTCAAGGGTTTCATATTTGGCTAATGGTAACTTCCTGAAACCTTCAAGAGAAGGTGATGGTGGTGGGAACTGCTCATCCTACTTTCTGGACATACCTTATATATGAGTAAGTATTTTCCCTTCTGCTTTTCCAAGAGCCTAATATGTTTCCTATGTTGCATTACAAAAAGTACATTCCAACTTATCTTTACTCTTTTACAGATTTTAAAGAACAAGGAAGCGTCAACACGTCAGGCATATTCAGATCTAATGGCACAGCAAAGTAACACAATTGATGAGAATAAAAAACTCATAGGAAAGGTAAAAACACTTGAGGAGATGTTGGAGAATATGAAGAAGCAAAAAATCCAAGTGGAACAGGAGCTCCCTAAAGTGAGGGAAGCTGCAGAAAAAGAGCGGAAGAAGCAGCAAAAGGACATGGAAGAAATCTGTCTTCAGAAGACCAAGGCTGAGCAAGAGGCAAAGCAGTGTCGTATAGATCTAGAGAGCATGGAGAAAGAGAAAGCAGATGCAGAGCAGGAGCTGGAGTGTGTAAGGCAGTTCATTTTTCAGGCAGAGACTCAAAGAAGTGTACTGGAGGAAAACCTCCGTGCTTTTCGAAATCAAATAGAAGAAAGTACCTTTACCAGAAGAAACTTGGAAGAACTTCTAAGAAGAAAAGATACTAATCTTTATGATTTAGAGGAACAAAAAAAAACCTTAATGCAGGAGCTGAAGAAAAAAACAGACGGAGAGGAGAAACTTATGAAGCTCATCAAGCAAATGGAACAAGATCTTGAATTTAAAGGGAACCTATCAGAAATAAAACTGCAAGAAAGAGAAAAAACTGAAGCTAGAAGGAAAGTTGTTGAAGGAAGATACTCTGTAACTAGAGAAACCTCCCTGCCAACTTTCACTGCTGGGCAGGGCAGTCAGTGTAGGACTGACTCTGAAATTACAAGTTTCCAGAAGAAACTAGAAGCCAAAAAAGTAGAAGAGCTTAAACAGAAGATAGATGACTTAACCCTTGCTAACAAAAAAGCTGATAAAACTATTAAAGACCTGAAATATGAACTGAATGAAATTGAGCTTCAAAAATCATCAACAGAAGAAAAGTCTCGTTTATTAAAAGAAAAACTAGATAAAGTCAATAGTGAGCTTAAATGCCTAAAAATTAAGTTGGAGGAAAAAGACCAAGTAGAGCAGGGGTATTTGCAACAGTTGAAAGAACTGGACAGGCAGCTACAGAGAGCCACAGGTAAAGCTGAAGAGGTGATGCAAGAAGCTATGGATCTTAAGAAAATTAAGATCAACTATCAGGAGGAGCTGAAATCTGTTCAACAAGAGAAGACACAGCTAAAAAGAGAAGTAGAGGAATTAACCAGATCACAGACAAAAACTGAAATCACTATCAAACATTTAAATTCACAAATCAGTTCTCTTCAAAAAGAGAAACTGGCAGCTGAACACAGAACACAGTCATGCAAAGGAGAAGCAAATAATCTTCAAGACCAATATAAGAAAATTAAGGAACAGTTGCTTCAAAAAACAAAAGTAGAGAAAGAAAACCAACAGGAAATTCAGATGCTTAAAAATGAATTAGCCAAAAGCACTCAGTTGTCAGAAACATTGAAACGACAGATAGAGGACCTTAATAAATGGAATACTGAAACAAAACTACTGATGAAACAAATTCAATCTGAATCAGAGAAGATGGCTTTGGAAAAACAAAATATTCAGAGGAAAAATGAGGCATTAAAAGCCCTAGCAGATGGTTTCAAAGAACAATTGCACACAACAAATGAACAATTGCACAAGCAAACAATAATTGAACAAGAATTCATGTGTAAAATTAAAGGCCTAGAAGTTGATCTAGCAAAAACAAGAGACCTAGCTAGTGAATATAAACAAAAGTGTGATAAACAAAGTGCTTCCACCTTAACCATTAACCAGGAGGTTAAAAATTTAAATGCTCAAATGAATGCTCTAGCCATGGAAAAGAGAGTGAGTGAGCAGAAGATTCAACTACAACAAACTCATATACAAGACTTAAGTAGCAAATTAAAAAAATTGCAGGATGAGCTCCATCAGAAAACTCTGGACGAACAGATGGCACGCAAGAAGATGATTCTGTTTCAGGAAGAATCCATTAAGTTTAAACACTCTGCAGAGGAATTTAGGAAAAAAGTTGAAAAATTACTAGAATCCCATAGCATCACAGAAAAAGACATTTCTGGCATAAAACTAGAATGTGTTGCTCTTCAGCAGGAAAAGCATATGGCTGAGGAAAACATCATGTTGTACAAGAGGCAAATGGAAGATCTGCAAGAAAGGCTTAAAAAATGTCATGAACAACTACAGCAAGGGAAGCAGGCTGAAATGGACTATCACCAGAAGTGCAGGAAACTTGAGGAAGAATTGGAAGTGCAGAAGCGCACGGTTGAGAACTTGAAACAGAAAATGGATCTGCAGGTCAGGGAGAGTGAACACAGGTTTCTTTTGTTACAGAATGAAGTTCAGCAAAGTAATAAGCTCCAAGATTCTGGATTTAAATTGAGCTGTGAGAGAAGAGGGAATGATTTCAATTACCCGAGTGATGCTGCAGCTAAAGAATGTGAACAGCTTCCTCCACATACAAAACCAAGCTCACCTTTGTTAAGGCAGAAACAGGAGAGATCAGGTTTTAAATCTGATCAAATAGAAGAAAATACATTGTACATGAGTGCTGATGATAAAATACCGAGAGAGGTGCAGTTTCAGATGTCAACCATAAACCAATCATTAGAAGATTCAAGCTCACAGTCTTTTACAGAGTTTGTTTCACAAATGAGTACACAGTTCCACATAACTTTTGATAAAGCAAGCCAAATATCTGGAACCACTGAAAAGGACACACTGAGAAACAGGAACCTACACAGTTCCAGACAAACTATTAGACATGGAGAAGACACAAAACATGAATTAGGAGTGGTAAAACTGCATCCCTTGGAGGTACACACTACATTTTGTGAGGATTTGCCTTCCTAGTCTGCTCTTTATTATAGTCTGTTTGTTCGTTTTTAGTTATACTTTATCACTACTCTCTCTAATGTTCCTGCCTTGGTGAAGGGAACCCCTTCATTCTTATGCAACACAAAAAGCTTTTCATTAGACCTCAGTACCAGATTCTTTAATATCTAAGAAACATTATTTTAAAAGTTTGCATTGGAAATAGAAATTCACATACACCATTGTATCATTAATGGTCAAAATAAGCTTTGATTAACAGTAGTGGGTTCACATAGTAGCAACAACAGTTATTGATGCTTAGTCTAGTTATATTCCTGTTTTTGAATAAATATTTAAAATGGCAAATGCACTTTAAAACTCTAACTATCTGTGTTTCTTTTCTCTCTAATGCTAGTAGCAGTTCTCCTTTTTGACTTGCATTCAAGTTCTCCCTTTGATTTCTCTGGTGGTGGATTTAGGAGTGAATTACGTACAGAACAGTCTGAAGTTGTATTTCTCACTGTGTCAAAAAATTCCTATTTACAGATAGTGAAGAACAAGCACTATGACATGCATGTTGAACTCACAACATTAAACCAAGAAAATGACAAGACGTTTGGTAATGAAGAGAGAATGTTTGAGGAATACAAAACATCCGAAGGGTTTAGGAAAGAAGACTTTGCAAAGATGAGCTCTTTCTTAGGGGAAGAGATTTTGAGAACTGTTGATGATGCTACTCAGCAGGAATATTTTACAGAGGAGTATGATGCTATTAAATTTGAAGGTCTCCGACATGATGTAACTGCCAGACAGTTGATCGAAGTCAAACTTTTAGACAGGCTGACAGCTGAGCAGCTTATTTCAGGGCAGAAAACTACTAATGAGATTCAGAAAACTCTTGAAAAATTTTTAACTAAACCTACAGCTATAGCTGGGCTGTACCTTGAATCCAGCAAAGAGATACTCTCTTTTGCTTTAGCAGCAAAGAGAAGAATAATAGGAAAAGCACTGGCATTAGCATTTTTAGAGGCCCAAGCAGCTACTGGTTTCATCATTGATCCCACAACAGGTCAGAAATTCTCTGTTGATGATTCGGTTGTTAGAGGGCTTGCAGATAGTGAATTCAAGAGTAGACTGCTTGAGGCAGAGAAAGCTGTTTTGGGCTATTGCTGTTCTGGGAAAGTGCTCTCTGTGTTTCAGGCTGTGGAAGCTAGACTTTTAGAGAGACAAAAAGGTAAAAATATCCTTGAGGCTCAAATTGCAAGTGGGGGGGTAATTGATCCTGTAAGAAGTGTTCGCGTACCTCCAGAAACTGCCGTGCATCTTGGCTTGCTTAATAACACAATTTTAAAATTTTTGCATGAACCTTCTAGTAATGCAAAATGTTTTTACAATCCAAATAACAGGAAAGCTATGTACTACTGTGATTTGCTGAAAATGTGTTTGTTCAGTGTAAGCAGTAAATGCTTTCTGCTTCCAGCTGGTGAAAGGAAAATAAGCAGCCCATCAGCAGAGAAAAGTCATAAAACTTCTGTAGTAGATGTCAACACAGGAGCTGAAATGACATCATACGAGGCTTATAAAAAGAAATGTATTGATAAAGCTACATATCTTGAGCTTTCGAAACAGGAATTTGATTGGAAGGAGTCTACGTGTTTCGACTCTGATGGGAATTCTTTTCTTTTGCTTACAGATCTTAAAACTGGTGTACAGTTTAATATTGAGGAGACCTTAAATCAAGGTAGAATTGACAGAGCATCAGTTGATAAATATAAGGAGGGCTTAATCACAGTTAATGAGTTTGGTGATATTTTAGTTAGCAGTTCACAGCCAAATAAAGATTTAAACAGTCCTATTGCAGGGTTCTGGCTTTCTGAAACCAACGAAAGAATTCCAGTCTTGAAAGCCTCACGTAAAAACTTGGTAGACAGAGTTACTGCCCTTCGATGTCTTGAAGCTCAGGTTAGTACAGGAGGTATAATTGATCCATTTACTGGGAAAAAGTACAGTGTTTCAGAAGCTTTGCAAAGGGAGTTAATTGATGATGCTTGTGCCAAGCAAATCCAGCAGTGTGAGCTGATCTTTACTGGGATCATTCATCCTGTAAGGAACACTGTTATGTCAGCTGTTGAAGCTGTGCATTTAAATGCCATAGACAAAGAAATGGGCATGCGCTGCCTGGAGTATCAGTACTTGACTGGTGGATTGATAGATCCAAAGTCTCATTCCAGGTTAACAATGGAAGATGCAATTAAGAGTGGTATTATTGATGCTGTCACAGCTACAAAGATGAAGGGTGAAAAATTGCATGCTAAAGTTTTAACATGCCCCAAAACTAAGAAGAAGATAACCTATAAAGAAGCTTTAGAGAGAGCTGTTTTTGATTGCCACACTGGACTGCGGTTGTTAGAAGCAACTCAGCCCATGAAAACAGGAATTTCCAGTCTTTACTATAATTCATAGTGGACAAAACATATTAGTACTCATTTTGGGCCCTGCTTTAAAACCCATTCAAGTTAAGGAAATATGGCGGCCTTTGTGGACAATCATAAATGTTTTCTAGCATAATAATGAATTGCTGTAAAACTAATTGTTAGAAACCACTTATTAGTATAAACCACTGAAACTGGAATTAGATATTACTTATTGCAAAACTGAAATTTATAGACAGGCAGATTCATAATTTCAGAATGCAATCTATGTGTTCAGTCTTTCCCTGAAGGCCTTCTCTGACATTACCTACATACAGGTAGTGTGAATGCGAAATTATACTCAAGTTGGTGAAGTTAACGTTAGTGCAAGGTGGGTAGATTTAGGTGAGACAGGGATCATATCCTTACATTAAAGATTGAAAGAGATTGCCCATTTTGCGAATGAACACAGTGCAGTATTTCATGTGACCTGTTACTTAATTTAATATTACAAATCAGTTTGTAGATATCATTTATTTTACAAAAATGGCAATAACATATACAAGGATTAAATCTGCAGTGCAGTAAACACACATGCATAAGTACTTTTTCTCACACTGGTATTTCATTAATTTCATTGGGCTACTTACACTATAAAGTTGTAAGTTTCTCTCACTTCAGGTAACGTTTTTTCTTTAGAAATGTTTTCATGCTCTAATAGGCAAATGAATTACAATTGCATATCAAATAAAAAAAGTCCACTGAAATAAAATGCCTTTATTTTTACTTGTATACATGGAAGGGCTTAAGCATGTTTTCTCAGTACTGATAAATGTCCACCTACTAACAGGTTGTACTTATATGAAAAGGAATATGTTTTTCTGTGCAGAAAAAAATTAAATGTCTCAGTATTTTACTGTTATTGTTCTTGTTTCTGTAGTCATAAAGGCAATGTATTCTTCCAATTGTAATTTAGTAATCCATGTGCATAGATTGCAAAATACTGTTATCCTATGCTGGCTGTACATATCCACACCTGAGGGTAATGCAAAGGCAGCAATTCAAAGATACTTTATATGCATTTTTTTTTAGATTTTTATTTGCTGAGTAATGGCTGGATAGCTATGCTTTTTCCTTTTATCAATAATTTTATAATGATTGTATGTGTGTATGAATAAGCACCTTTATCATAATTACAAATAATTTGAGGTATTATTTTGTTAATATCTATGTGACATTTTTGTTCCTACATCAAAGTGTCATAGTAATGCATGTGGTGATAAATAAAAAGAAATCATTTTATGTTTATGTGATAATAATGGCATTATGGTAGAGTTGTGTTTGTATGGATGTTAATGTTACATATTTCAACAATTTACTTTTACGTTTCTTACAATTCGTGGCGCTCCTCAGAAATCAATGGAAGAGGAAAAGAAGGAACATGTTGAGAAAGCTGGGGATTTACTAAAATGGGTATCAAATCTCAGCAAGACACTCAGCAAAGAAGAAGGAGAAAAGGCTGAAAAGACAGACTTGCCTAAGCAGCAGGTACACAGATGTCTTTTTAGGTTTTTGCCAAAATATTCCATAAATAATTTTTTTCTTGCAAATCTCCATCCACATTTTCCTCAAGGTGTAATTTCACATTTGGTTGTGAGTGGAGGGCTGGGTACGTGAACATCAATGTTTAGGGACACAAGGATGTTACTCAGGAAGAAGTTCACACTGCTTTTTACAGATCTAGTGTGTGATGTATTCTGACACTGCAGAATATCAGTTTAGAGAAACTGGACACTGCACACCATAACTCAGCCTTTGTAGAGGGTCAGTGCATCTTGGCAGATTGGCACTTTGGGCACCAGGAAGGACGAAGCTGCTAGGACGGTCTTGAAAGCCAGGTTTCTATTTATTTGCTTTTGAAAAGATATTCAGATGGGTCTTCTAAAGGAATAGTAAAAACTGCTGTCCTAGGAAGTACAGCAGCTGTTGACTGAGGCTTTTATTATCACACTACAGGCTGCTGGAGTGGCCCATCTTGAAGCCTTTGTATTTATTTAACAGGTACATTGTCACTGTGTACAGTTGTAACTTTGACCATAAAGTTCCATCTGTGAAGTTTCCTATAATTTTTAGAAGCTCCCCTCCTAGGCTTGTCCCACGAAATAGCTTAGTGACACCTAAAAAGATTTCAGTTGGTGAAGGTCTGCCTGTGTAGTGAGCAGCATAGGCACAGAGTGGTGTCTTATCCACATACCTCAGTATAGGACCTTATGTGTGGTCCTGCACACATGATTTTGGCCCTCTTTGCAGCCTGTTCCTGTGTTTTTATTTTGATGACCCATGCAGGTGCTGGTTAGACACACTGGAGCAGTGTGTGTGTAAATCAAGCTTGCTGTTGGGCAGGTCAGCAAACCTGCAGTCCTGATGGCCACCAGACCCAGCACACTGCTTGTTCATAGAGAAGCAGTGCAAGCTCTGAGTTTGTACCTATATATTTAGGACAAAGTAAGCTTGTATTGATTTGAGCATACTGATTGTTAACTTACTAGTAGTTAGGATCAGGATTTGGAAAAACATTCAGTGCTGCTCCTTTTCTGCCCTTGTTGATGACAATGCTGCAAACCTTTGTCAGTGTTGAGCCAGTGCTCAATCCTTAGGGCATCTCAGTTTACCACACTACCTGTAGGTGTCATTTCCCCTGTCCAGCCTGAGCCCTCAGTGAATAACCTGTGAATTAGGTGCCTTGGCTTCCTCCGTGACACGCTCCCTTGCTGTGGAAGATGGGCATTTGCTGAGAGTGTTTGCTTTTCTTGTGAAACAACCTATTGAGGTAGCAGCAGCGAAAGTGGTGATTTGATAGCTGAAATACATTATGGTTGCTGTGGGGTGTAGCCATGTTCTGGGAGGAGAAGCTGGTACCAATGGTGACAGGGTGCACACAGCAGCCGCAGCAACACTGGTTTCCTGAGTAAAGTGGAGCTTGTGACCCCACTGGTTACCTCAGCCTGCTCTCATCACATTCTTGTGTAGTGCATACAGTGCTTCTCTTGGTTCCTGTACAAGCAGCACAAGTGGTGAGATCGTGGCCTGCTTGTGGTGACTGCAAAGTGAGACTTTTCAGGCCCTTTAACACAATACAGTCAAGGACAGAACTGGTTGAGTCCAGGCCCAGGTGAATGCAGGGCCCAAGCACCTTGGCGAAGTTCTCTTAGCATCTACATTGAACGTATCTCCAGCTTGCAGACTTACCTTTGATAATTTGCCTTTATTTATCCAAAATGACTGCAGGGAGTTTCTCAGAAAAATTTAAAGATTAAATTCCCACAACTTCCCCTGCCACAATGAGTGCTTTAGTGGGGATGACAGAACTGATAGTGGGGAGAATATTAATAAATAAATAAATAATTGCATTTGTCTCTGATGTTGTATTTCATGAAGGCTTGTGGTCTTCTGATACATTTTTAAAAAATACATGTTATAAAAGATATGCTATCTTTCATTTTGGTGAGCAGCTTCTTGAACATGACCATTGTACACATACCTTTATAAAGCTGCTATAAACTGTGCCAACTATAAGTGATTTTAAATGATTGGTTAATTTTCATACAAATAACATTTTAAAATAAATTCTATTTGTTTCGCTTGATAGTCTTCTAATACAAACAGCTTACTTAATGAAAAGGCACAGCACAATGACTTATCCATATGTAAATGATACAATTACATAATAAATAATATTGCTCTAAGGATAGCCAGTATTTAAAAAAAATCCAACTCTTACATTACTGAGATTAGTTCCAGATAAAAATACTATGTTGTTTGTTTGTTTTATTTATGTACATAGTTAAGTCTTGAACACAGTTTGCTTCTTTTTCAGATTTCCCTGCATGAAATGTCAACCAAGAAAGAACAAATAGCTGAAGCTCTGCAGACTACTCAGTCATTTTTAGCTAAGCACAGTGATAAGTATGCCATTTTTTATTTTTCAAATAATATAAATTAATTGAATCAATACATACTGTTTGGTTAAAAATAAATCCCGTCCTCGTATTACAGTTCCAGTTGCATTTCATGTGCAAGTATGTGAGTTTGGGAGTTTTTTGCCTTCCTGTTTGATGAAGCTTGGTGCAGTTTTGTCAATTTCAAGAACTTGGCTTGTTTTATATAACTCTGGTCAGCTTAAAAATATTAGATATTTGAATTTTTATTTGGAGTCAAAATAATTTACAAATTTATAACAAATTAGTACTTGAACTATATGTCACAAGGTTGTTTCATCTGTGTCTGAAAAAAAAACTGTTTAAGATATTAAATTGCTGAAATATCTCATGACTGCTTGCTAGTTTTGTTACCTGTCTTTGAGAATCAGTAGACAAAGGCACATGCAAAGGTTAAATGCTTCTTTTCCTGATTAACTGCAAGCAGTTTGTAGCTTTCTTGACCATCTCCATAATTGGGCTGTATTTTTTCCAGATTACTTGTACCAATTTCTGCCCCACTTTTTTAAGTAAAGGTAGGTAGATCACTCCCAATAGATTATGAATTACCCAAAGAGATCCTTTCTTTTTTCATAATAGAATGACCGATGAAGAAAGACATGAAATGGAAAAGCAAGTCAGATCTCTCCAGGAGAGCTACAGCTTGTTATCCAATGAAGCTTTAAAGCAGCTGCAGGAAGCGCAGTATCTGAGTGATGAAAAGATGGAAGAAAAGGTAACAAGATAGAAACTTAGATTTCAGTCTCTCTTGAGTTTTACTGCATGGTTTTCAAACCCCACATGATCAGCAAAAGAAGAAGCTGCAACTAACAGTGTGTGGAAGAAACTTGAGATTTAGTTGACTGAAGGTGTTATGTATTTTCTGTAAAATACTGTGTGTGACCTCACCTGTGCATATGAATTCTACTCATCAGACTTCTTTTGTGAAGAGTCTTAATAATGTGTGCCTTGCATGAAGAAAGATAAACAGATCATTCATCTCTTAACTCTTCTCTTAAAAACCATTCTTTGACTGCTAAATAAACCTGTGTTTCTGCTGCAAAAATGACACCATAAAATAACATGATAATCTCTCCCATATATCATTCAGAAATGTCCTAGAAGAGATCTACTTTCAGTTTTTCTTAAAATTTTTCTACATTTGAAAATGGGAACACATAACATGATTAGCTCTGAGGCACTACAAATACATTTGTTGATGGATATTAGTTTTAAATATGGAGTTCTCAAAAATTATCTTGCAAAGGAGTGTTCTCATATACATATACAGGCAGTGTCTGTGTAATGAGTTCAGATAATGTTGTGCAACTGACTTCATGCTTTTCATGCAAACTAAATGCAATATTTGGTGCTAGAGTATCTGATTCCATATTGTTGAGTGTATATACAGAAGTGCTGTATGCTGTAAACATGAATAGCATGGTTGTGTTGAATCACATACTGTTTCCAAATATTCTAACCTTTCACAAGACATTTATAGCATGAAAATTTGCCTTTCAGGTATATGTTCTATTTGCTCACTCTGCGATCATATCTTCTATTATCTTTCACTAACCCTATGTATGTATGCAAAGCATAGGTTTTCAATTCACAGATGCATGTTGATTTTAAATCTTTTATCACATCGTGTGCTCTTGAGTGACTGACATAGATCACTTGCGCATTTGAGCTGCTAACATTCACAGCATTTCTCCAGGCCTGGTAAGTACATGTTTTTCTGCTTATCATGCATTCAAAATCAAAAGAAAATTTAAAATATATAGTCCAAAAATATTGATATCTTCTCTTTTATATTCCTTTCTAGGTGAATAAAGTCATTGCTGGTGTCATTGATCAAACTACTGGAGAAGTCTTTTCAGTCTTTCAGTCTATTTTAAGAGGTTTTCTTGACTATGACACTGGAATTAGATTGCTCGAGAACCAACTGATTTTTTCTGGAATCATTTCTCCAGAATTAGGAGTGTGTTATGATTTGGAAGAAGCTAAAGCTCATGCCTTAATTGATGAGCAGATTCTATTGCAGTTGCAGGAATTAAGTAATGCAAAAAAGCTTATTTCAGAATCATCATTATCAAATATTCCAGTTGTTTCAGTTTTAGAACAAGGTCTAATTTCAGAACCTTTGGCTATTAAAATTCTTGAGAATCAGCTTTCAAGTGGGTATTTGATTTTGCCGTCTACTGGAGATAAGCTGACTTTTCAGAGTGCTTTCCAGAGAAACCTGATTTCTCCAACATTATATGCAAAACTCCTGGAAAGACAAGACACATGTAAAGATCTCATAGACCCCAACTGTGCTGAGAAAATTTCCCTTGAACAGATGATTCATAGAAGCATAATACATGAAGAAACAGGGTTAAGACTCCTACCTGTGAAACCACAAGAAAAAGGTAGAATTGTGTTCAAATGTGGAAGGAGGATAACTATTTTGAGGGCAGCTCATGAAGGGCTCATTGATCGGGAAACAATGTTCAGGATGCTGGGTGCTCAGTTAATGTCTGGAGGTATCATTGACCCTGACTCAGGGAAACGAATGACTGTGGAAGAGGCCGTGAGACAAGGGGTGATAGATCAGGACACTGCTTGCGGGATCCTCACACATCAGGTTCAGACGGGTGGAATCCTTTGTCAAAATTCAGGACAACGGTTGACTGTTGATGAAGCTGTACAATGCAACTTAATATCATCTACCAGTGCCCTGCTGGTATTGGAAGCACAGAAGGGCTTTGTGGGATTAATTTGGCCTCACACTGGTGAAATATTTCCTGTATCAACTTCTTTGCACCAAGATATGATAACAAATGAGCTGGCATTCAAAATACTGAATGATAGAAAGAGAATAGCTGCACTTTACATTCCAGAAACTTGTGAAATAATCAGTCTTGACAAGGCTGCAGAATCAGGGATCATAGATAGCAATACTGTATCTGTTTTGACCAATGTGACTTTACCAGATAAAATGCCCAATGTAGAAGAATTAAAGTCCCCTTGTAAAAATGCTGCAAAATGGTTATCAACGTATACATTTCTCCAATCTGTATTTCATGACTGTGAGGAGGAACATGAAGATTGTGGCACAGACGACCCTGTATGTCATAATTTAGATCAAGCTAAGAATCTATTCATATCTTACCTGATGGTAAATAGTTATATGGATGCAAACACTGGAGGAAGACTTTTGTTATATGATGGACAACTGCAAGAAGCAATCAATATGTTGCTGGAAGGTGATGGTGCTGCATACAATGCTGGTGTGTCAGAAATGGAGTTAAGTAATAAATATGTAAGCTCAAAAGGAATTAACCTAAAGTCAGCAGACAGTGTTCAGGGTGACCTTTCGGGTGTTGAGAATGCTTCTAAAAGCAGGAAATTAAATCAGTTTGGTGATTTGGGGAATTACATACCTTCACAAGAAGATCTCCATGAGTGTGGACCAGATGTTTGCAATGCTATTGACACTGAGCAATCAGAATATACACAGGAGATGCTGTTAACTCTCCCTGCAGAACTCAGAAATGTAGTAAGTAACGCTCAAAATTCCACGAACAGAAATGCACTCAGAGGTTTTTTGGAGGTTTCTAAGTGGACAGAACTGTATAAGCATAACAATCAGCAGGCAAATTCAGGAAGTATTGAGGGGTACCTTCCAAATGACTTCAATCCAAGTCTTATTTCAGAAACAGGGAAGGAAGCGATTTATATGGGTGACAGTCTGGGTAATGAAAACAGGAGTGATAAAAGCCTACAAAATTCCTTGAATGTGGATGATTTGTCAGATAAGAAAACCTGGAGAGAGCTGGAAAGGTGCACAGAGTACAGACCTCACATATTGCAAGCTGACAGTAGCAGAATGGTGTTGGATAACAGCAAGAAAGACAATTTTCAGAGAAGTCTTTGTTCATCCATCAGTGCAGACACTGTACATAGACTTCCAGAAGAATTTGTTAGTCAATGTGGTGACACAGTACAGTTCGAAGACAATGGATACAGTGAGCAACCTCTACAGGAATATGCTGATGTACCTAACAGACCATCCCTAGAGGGCTATCTTTATATACATAGAAGGCCGTCATTGGAGGATTGTATTGATTTTCAGAATAAACTGTGTCTAGAAGACAGCAGAGACGTGCACCACAGGCCTTTGTTGGGTGGTGATACTGTTATACACGATGGACCAGCTATGGGGGACAGTAACAGCACTGCAAAAGGGCTGACAGTAGAAGAAAGTGATCTTACATTCCACAGGTTAGTGCCATGTTACACTAGTTCTGACTCATCAGTAGATGGGAGTGATGGCATTCCACAGCTTGAAAGTACCTGCTTGCAGCAAGAGTGTGGTGAGGTAGCCTCTGAAGATGACAGCTCTCAGTTTGATGAGGATGATGATGACACCTATGAAACACCTCAGACTGATGATGACGACAGTGATGTCTATAATACTCCTCAAATTGATGACGATGATTCTTCTGACACTTCTCAAGGTGATAAGGGGTTTGATACCTTGAAACTGGGGGCTGATGATACACCAGAGCCAGAACTGGCTGGAAGATCAGTTCCATTAGTTTTTCTTGAGGAGAGAGGTGGTCTAATAGCCCTAAGAGAAGAGATCACCTCTTTTCAAGAACTTGGAGCTAATGCTAAAGAGAATGCCCATGTATATGAGAAAAGGCAACCTGAGAGCATAAATACAGCTTCTGCAAGTACCAAAGCCATGGGAAGAATCCCTAAGGAGGAAAGGGAAAGAAAAGGGAGTTTTGGAGAGAAGGAGCAAGAGTTACCAGTTACTGTGGAAAGTGAAGGAAGAAAGGAGGGAGGCATAAGTTCTTTACAGGAGATGTATGAAGCAGATATACAAGACAGAAATGAGCAAGTTGAAATGAAAGCAGAAAGTGATTCTTATGAGGATGAATCTGAAGGTACACAGGAGGGGGAAGATTCTGAGGAGGATTATGATAGTTATGATGACTCTGACACTGATTCTGACAGTGAAGATGAAATGGATATTTTTTATTCACATCATCAGTGTGTAGATAAAGGTGACCACCTGTTAATTTCCTTAGGAGATGTAGAAAGAAACAATGAACGTAATCAGAATATTGATGACTGTTGCTATTCTTTAGGCCACAAGACAGGATATACTTCGCAATTCCAGTCTAACCATGAAAATGGAAATCTATCTTCAATGTCACATGTTTCTGAGGAAAGATATGTTGATATTTCATGTACAAGCGAAGAAGACAGACAGCAGGAAACAGAAGATGAATATGGGACTTATGTCAAAAATAAACACATGTCACAAGATATTACTGAGCCTATTCAGTTGGAAAATACCCTTGACACTAAATGGACGTTCTCTACAAGTGAAGGAAATAATGAAACATGGCTTAAGGTTCCAGGTTCTCAGCTTCTTGATGGTATTGTGAAATCTGATGTCAGTGTAACAGCCTACCTGGTAACAAAGCAAGCTACTGATAATGATGAAAGTACTTGGTCAAATTTGCTTCTCTCAGAATGCTTTACTGATAGCGCGAATAAAGACAACGGTAGCATGCCAATGTTAGATTCAAATCATGGGCAAGGACAGAAAGAAGCAGTAGTTGCAGAGGAAAAAGTATTAAATGATATGGAACAACTAAAGGAAAGTTCATCCCAAATGGACAATAAATTCCCTATAGATATGTGTTACGTGAATGATGATAATGATAGCTCACTTAGGGACCCAGTAGATCCAGTCACCAGTTGGAAGCATGGTCAAATAGGAAGAGGTTTTGAAATTCTTTCAGAAAGTAAAAATAGAGTAAATATTATAGAGGAATGTGATATCATGGGACTAAGTAAAAGTCCCATTCGGATGGAAAGCCTTGGGGAAATATTTGATGCATCAGTAATTAAAGCTGATAGAGAAACTTCTGTTGCGAGTAAAGAAAAAGTAACTGTTGATCAAGCTTTCTTTGACATTCGAGTTGCGAGATCAGATGAATTGAGGAGAGATGCTAACATTCCTCCTTCTTTAAAACAATATACAAAAGGCATAAAAGAAGGTGGCCATTCAGAACTGGATAAAACTGAATTCTCCTGTTTTGAGGACACAGAAAGAGAGAAAAAAGGTATAGAGATTGAAAAGGATTTTCTGCTAAATACAGAAGAAATGCATTCAAGTGAATTTAACGCTTACTCTTTTCCCCCAACGGATACAGTGAAACCAAAGGAAATTAGCATAACTAAAGAAACAGAGAGAGTTATCTGTCAAAATACTGCCAATGTTCTTAAAGGCTCTTCAGAACACAGAAGCAGCAATGACAGTGAAATTTCCCCCATAAAACCAGATGCTTTAGGAAGTATTGAGGATGCCAGAGAATCAGGGGATGGAAGTGAAGTGCTATCTTCTGGGAGACTTACCCATACCACTGATGTTTCTTCTGCAATTCTGAGTAGCATAGGAGCTGACTTGAATTATGGTGCCCAGAAAGAATATGAGATGCTGAAAAACAAAAAGGGAGAAAATTTCATGGCCAGTGAGACTTTCTCCCTTGGAAATGGTTTCAAAAACCAAATGTCCATGGAGTCATTGCAAAAGGAAACGGGACCCTGCAAAGATTTTCAAGTAAAGGAAGGTATTTCACGATCACCAGAAATATCTGACACACTAATGGAAGACTTACAGAATATATTACAAAGGAAATTGAAAATGGGATGTGCTTACTGCAAGCAGGAAGCTGAACCTTTAAGTTACTCTGATACCAAAACTTTAATGCAAAATTTACTCACAATGGTTAGAAGCACCCAGCTTGTGAGTGAAAAGTCTAGTGGGTCAAATCTCAAGCAAACAAGCAGTTCTGGTAGAACTGCATTAATGTTTACCACGCCGCATACAGAGCCCAAGGACAGTGATGCTCCTTCATTGCTTTGGCCTGATTACAGAAGTCCTGATCTTCTTCATGATATTCTGAAGCAGGAATCCTGCAAGCAAAAGATGACTGATGTAGATAAAAGGAGGAATGAAACAGACGTGAAAACTCCTGTTCCTAAGCCGACTATTTCTGAACTTCTGGAGATTTTTCAAATCTCACCTGGAGATGAAAGTACAAGCAAGTTAGAGGAGCTGATAATTGGTTTGCTTATGAACTCACAGGTTGCTGATACCACCACAGAACATGAGGATAAAGGAAAAGTAGGTGGACTTTGTACTCTTTTCTCAACAGAACAATCAGAGTTTGGATCAGAAATTGCTAAAGAGAAAACATTGGCAGATAATGCAACTGTTGCTTGGAAAAGTGACCAGGAGCATGGGAAGACAGACAGCCCATCCAGAGGCTTTACTGAGTCTGTTTTCAAAACAAAAGAAGCAGTCCTGGAAGATGCACACACTAGCATGGTGAGTAACAACAGCTGATATGTTCTCAGTGTCCTATATTAAAGGAATTGCATGAATCCTTCCAAATGCTGGAGAGAATAATTGAACTGGAAAAATGGTTGAAAAATTAAATGATAAATTTAAAATTAATCATAATAAACCCAAGGACTTTTATTGCTAATTTTCAATTCTGTCATTTTGGAAAACCTCTTATTTTTAAAACTCATTTTCAGTTTGATGGAATACAGCAATGTTTAACGTTGATAGAGAAAATACAAGGACATTTGGCAGTGCTTCAAGATATGAAAAACCACCTAGATAACCAGCAGCCTGTTAGTAACAACCTGGAAATACTAAGAGATGAACTGAAACAGCTAGAGGTAAGTAAAGTGTTCTTTATGCTTGTAGTTCAGTAATGGGTGCTAGGAATAGGCCTTAGATTAAACAAAGAGGGACTTAAAATGTAATTAATGTAATTCAGATTAAAATGTCTTTCTTAGTAACTTAATCCATTCTATATATATTCTTTTCATAGTCATTTGAATCAGGACTGGCTACGTTTGCAATTGTCCTAAAAAAGGACATGAAGTCAACGGAAGAATTCTTAAAGTTTTGTAACAGGGATATTCCAGAAGAGAAACTTAAAGAGCTAAAGATAAGCTATGACTATTTACAGGAAGCATTTTTGGTGGTCTGTGATACATCTTCGAAACGAGCAAAACAAATACTCTATGCTGTTGACTCAGAAATGGTATGTTTTTATCAATGTATGTTTTTACCTTGGTTTTCTTCAAGGTAATCGGGCTAAAATGAAGGAATTTGTTCTTTTGTTTCATCTTATTATAAAAATACATGTATGATTCAATTCAATATGGTAGAAAGTGTGACTAGACTCCAGGAGCACAAATAAATGTACAACTTCCCTTTCCAGTCTAAGCTTGGAATATTACACCAGCAACTTCTAAGTAAACTGCAGAGATTTTCAGACTGGATCACAGAGAACAGTAAAATAATTAATGACTTCACCATGAATACTAATGATATAGAAGAGATGAAGAGAAGCTTACAGCTATTTAAAGTAAGTATTCTTTATGGCAGGTGTTGGTGCTTCTGATAAATGTTGCTCCTTACTATGAATTATTAGCTAGGTTTTGTATTCAGGCTCATTAATCTTTATCACTTAAACAGATGGCTAGAAGTAATTACTTAAGAAACAACTACTTGATAATCCAGTAATAAAATCTTGTTGATTTGCGTTTTCCCTTGCAAAAAATGTTTGATAAAGTTAGGATTACTGAGAAAGCTATTGGTTCTGCTTACTTTCATTACAGTAAATCTGAAACTTTTGGAAATCTAATTTATAATACAAATATTTCAGTGATTGGATCTTTATGCATAAGGTTCAGAATCTTTACCGAAATTTAATTACCTTTCAAATCAATTATATGTGAGAACACAAGTTAGGATAAAAAGTCCCTTCATTACACACTCCATAAATTTATCATCATGAAAAACAAATCAGATCAAATTTCTAGTAAAGTTCATACACCTCTGTATGTATGAATAAAACTTATTTTAATTGTTTTTATGTGCTTTAATAAAGTTCTGGTATACATAGTAATCTCATAGGGGTTCCACAATATGTAACTACTGGCAGAATTTGCCCCATTGCTAGGAATGGGACTTCTCTTTGTGAACTTAAGAATAAGAATGATTTCAAGTAAATATTTTGACATTTCTGGGTCTTCAGACCTAGCACATTGAAATGTTACACCTACCTTGCCATAAATCTTCCATAGCTGAATGACAGTCAGTTGTGAGACATCCATGAGAGAGTAAAGAAATAGCGATGTGCAAGATCACATTATTTGTTACTTGAAAACAGACTGTCCTGAGAGAAACCATGCACAAATTCTAATGTCATAGCTGAATACATCAGAATGATTCTGAGTTTTGATTTACTGTGGCCAAACTGTCTAGCAAAAGCATTTTGGAACAGGGGCTAAGAAAAGTTGATAGGGATACTTGTGGTTTATTTGTACTGACTTTTTTCTTCATTGCTAGTAATTCCCTTCACTTCATTTACAGAACAATGCTGCAGAGTTCAACTGTGAAAAAATGCAACTGGAGTCCACTGCATTTGATGTTCAGTTTTTCATTTCTGAACATGCTGAAGATCTTTCTCCTAGTCAGAGCAAACAGCTGCTGAGGCTCTTAAATACCACCCAGAAATCTTTTCAGGAAGCACAGGAAGCAATAACTTCTCAAGTGGAAAGTTTAGAGACTCAGTTACAGGCAGTGCAAGAGCTGGGTGCTCAGAAGGTTTGCTTATTTGTGTAAATGTGCACTAAGTGTTTTGTCTATGGATGAGGAATTTGAATACCAGCATGCAGTATTGAGTGTATTCCTATCTTTTCCCTTTTTACTACAGATGCATTCGTAGTTCTACGAAGTTGGTATTGATCAAGTTTGGTGAATTATCATTTTTGCCTTTCTTGGTATAGTCACAGAAACAGCATATTAGATTATGGACACAGGTCTGCTCTTTGTAACCATGAGAGAAATTTACTTGAGATTTCTCACAAGTGTTGGTTCTTTAGCAGCTATATCAGTAATGGATCTGAGCTATATTAATCACTGAATTTACTACCACACCATTGCTTATCACTTATGTCTTGATTTTCTTTTCCTTTAATTGGCCAGGTTGTCTGCTTATATTTATAGTAGTGTGCTTATCTTTATAGTTAAAGAACCAGATTTGTTAAAATCCTGGCCAGCATGGCTTTTTTTGACTGAGACAGGTTAGAGGGACAAACATATGAGTAAATCAGCCAAGATATTTGCAGTTCTAGGCATGGGCACTGGGAAAGCTCTGAGTCAAGTTGTGACAGTTACGTCTTCAGCTGGGATGGATGCAGTTGGCAAGTGTAAGCAGCCTTTGTAGGGTAAAAGGAGGCTGATAAGATACTGCAGCATAACTACATCTCCTCTTACAGAAGCACTCTTAAGACTCAGAATCACCACCTCAGCCCCCATTTTATGCATAATGAAAAGTACCTTAGCATTCTGTAGACTTTGTATTATTTTGCCATTCTAAGAACATTTGTTTCCACCATATTTTGTGAAAGAAGCATAAAATTGAGTATAGGAAAGGCACAGATAAGATTTCTAGGATTTTGTAACAATAATGAACTTGCATGTTTTGTTCTACTGTACTGCTTAAAAAGTCCACAGTTTCTATTCAGGTAACATATTTTGCATACCAACAAGAGCTAACTCACATTCACAACTAACCTCTGTTTTGATGTCCTTTTTTCAGAATTAATAGTGTTTATCACAGGTTCCAAGTGGTTAAGAAACTGGATTTTCACTCTTGTCATTTGGAGATTTCATCTTTCACATATGTGCATGGCCAGACTACTATTGGGCAATTCCATCAAACATGGTCTCTTTTACTTACAACATATTTGAGGTTTATCCATAACTTCTGTATGTTCATCTTGCTCTTTGTACCACTGCTATCATGTTTACAGCATACTTTTAAAATTATTGCTTTGCAATATTGATGTTCAAAGATATTCTAATACTTATTAGTGTGTCTATTGATTCCTGAAGTGAGGACTTTTTGTTTTATTGTTCAATTGTACTTGGCTCTAATGTAGGATGTGGCTGAACGGCAGCAGGAATGCAAAGAGAAACTGCAGGAAATCTGTGATTTGCTTACGCAGACTGAAAATCAACTCATTGGACAGCGAGAGTCTCTTGTTATTGGAGACAGCAAGGCTGAGCTGGAACAATGCCAGACCAAACAGGAGGTAGGCACAATTCTAGTCAGAGAAGTTCAAGAAGACTGAGTGCAGAGGAGAGTGACTAGACTCTTTTGTTGAGTAACAAGACTTGTCATGTGAGAGGAGAATAAAACAGATTTGTTTGACCTACGGAAAGTAAAGGCTTAGTGGCTTGCATTTAAACTGCTGCCCGTGACTACACTCCAGTATGTGCCAGTGGGAGAACAGAAACTTCCAAATGAGGAGACACCAGAATGAAGAGTATGTGCTGCACATTTAAGGAAGCACTCTTGAAGCAGGCATGAATTTTGTTAATATATTAGTTTAAGATTGTTCCTGTCAAATGTGATAAAATCACAAGTTTTTTTATGCTAAAATAATTCAACCACCTTTTTAACTGGTATCAGGGTGTGTTTATTCCTGTTCACAGTATTTTGAAAAATTTTGCTGCAAGGCTTTCTCTTGCCTGAGGCTTTCCATTGCCTCACTCTTGTTTTGGTTTGAATTCTGGTTTTTATTAGTGTTTCTTATAATCTCTTTGATATCCTCATGTAACAAAGCCCTTTCAGTTTGCTTGCTTTCCTTACTCTTCAGCTGTTACCAGTAATCTATAAGCTTTGACTATGTCCTGACTGATATTGAGTTTGTGATAGTTAAAGAACTGAAGGACTTGGTGTTCTTCTTCTTCCTCCTTCTCCTAGTAGTAGTTGGCTATACTGTAGAACTCCAAGTCACGTTTAGTAATCTATAAAGGCAGAAATTTCCTTGTTCATCTTGCCTTGCTTTATTATTCTTCAAAGTGATACATCTAATTTGTCAAAGTTTTCTTATAGTTAGTGGAAAGATACATACCCCTTTGGTATCTCTTACCTGTCTTAAGAATTTGTGGCTTAAATGGGGTATCTAGGGGAGTGAAGAACTGATGCAGCATATGGTGCCTTTTTCTTTTCCCAATCATCTGTGACTGCCTAGCAGACGAGTTGTTATTTTCTGTCTGGTTTCTTATAGTTGCCATTGAAAAAGTGTGTCTTAAGAGGGAATAGATGTTAAAAAAGGTCTTTTATATGTCAAGTCAGCTTTCCTCCTCAGTGAGCTGTTTGAAAGGGAGCACAGAGATCTTAGTCAAAGGAGCATCTTGTCTTGATACAGTGTCCCCAGGAAAATCTTTCTAATATACTTGCTGAAGTGTTAAAATGAGCTGCAGTTTTAGGTGCCTAACTCTATTCCATAATTGCTGCAAAATCCTTAGTCTAGAGTGAGAATCAAATATTCTGTCTTGCAGCTCCAAGATTGTCACACTGCATATAAAGATAAAAAATGTCATTGTTTCAGTAACTGGGTGAATGTGCTCAACAACATAATTGTTATAATTAAAGCTCCTCTCAGATAACTGGGAGGCAGTCTAGGAAAACTGCTTTGGATAAACTGAAACTAAGTATCTGTCCTCTGTGAAATTCAATGGATGCAAACATTCTTCTGAGACTAAAATATTATGATTGATTAAAACTAAAATAAAAGTATTCTTATGCCATTCCTGGCCTGAACAAAACAAAAAAGTATGGGAAAACTTCCAACTGGGAAAGACAACTACAATTTTCTAACTTTTACTCAGTTGCTTTATTTTTAGCAGCTTTCTGTTAGGATAGTAATGGAAAGAATTTGTCAGGAGACTCACTAACTGAAATGTAGCAGATTTCTACAACATAAGACATATGTTTTTCTCCATCATGGAAATGCAATATTTTAGCTTCTAAAGAAAGGAAAAAAAGTGACCTGAGTCTGAATAACAGTGTAAGCCAACAGACTTGGAATTTAAAAATAAAAAAAAAAGATTGAACCGCAAGAACATTGTCAGATGTTGATGTCTTTAAATTTAATAATTCTATCTGCAATTTAGTGATGTATAATATACTTTCCCAAGTTAGAAAGGACCAGTATGGTGCTTACCCCAGAAAAGAGAGAGTTCCAATAAAGTTAATTGGACAGATATGGTGAATAATTTACTTACTTCTATGTGCTTTCTTTTTTCTCAAAGGAGATACAAAAAGACATGAGAAGAAGTGCCCAGACACTGGCAGAGATTGTGAAAAATACTGAAACCTTCTTGAAAGAGAATGGAGAAAAGTTGTCACAAGAAGACAAGACTGTTCTGGAACAGAAACTGAATGAAGCTAAGACAAAGTGTTTGCTTCTTAGCCAGAAGGCAGAAGAGTCCAAAAAAGAACTCGATAAAGCTATGACAACAGTGATTAAGCAGGAAACAGAAAAGGTTTTTAGGCAACCACTTCATACCTTTATTCAAACTTTTTACATGTCTTGTGGGACTAGTCTTGCAATTTACCCTTGTGTGGTGGGTTTATCCTGTCTGGATGCCATGTGCTCACCAAAGCCATTCTGTCACTTCCCTCCTCAGCTGGATAGGGGAGAGAAAATGTAATGAAAAGCTTGTGGGTTGAGATAAGGGCAGGGAGAGATCACTCACCTGTTACTGTCATGGGCAAAACAGGCTTGACTTGGGGAAAATAATTTATTACCAATCAAATCAGAATAGGATAATGCAAAATAAAAACTAAATCTTAAAAATACCTTCCCTCCACCCTCCTTTATTCCTAGGTTCAGCTCCAGAATTCTCTCCCTCATTCCCACCACTGGTGCAGGGGGATGGAGAATGTGGGTTAAGTCAGTTCATCACACATTGTCTCTGCCACTCCTTCCTTCTCAGGGGAAGGACTCCTCACACTTTTCCTGTGCTCCACTGTGGGGTCTGTACCATGGGAGACAGTTCTTCATGAACTTCTCCAAGATGAGTCCTTCCCACAGGCTGCAGTTCTTCAAGAACTGCTCCAGTGTGGGTCCCCCCATAGGGTCACAAATCCTGCCAGGAGCCTGCTCCAGCATGGACTTCCCATGGGGTCGCAGCCTCCTTCGGGCATCCACCTACTCCAGCATGGGGTTCTCCATGGGCTGCAGGTGGATCTCTGCTCCACCGTAGACCTCCATAGGCTGCAGGGGGACAGCCTGCCCCACCATGGTCTTCACGATGGGCTGCAGGGGAATCTCTGCTCCAGCTCCTGGAGCACCTTCTTCACTGATCTTAGTGTCTGCAGAGTTGTTACTCTCACACATTCTCACCCCTCTTCAGGCTGCAGTTTTTCATGTACCCTTCTTAACTATGTTATCCCAGAGTTGTTACCACCGTCACTGGTGGGCTCAGCGTTGGTAAGTGATGGGCCCATCTTGTATCTGGCTGGCACTGGCTCTGTCAGACACGGGGGAAGCTTTTGGCAGCTTCTCACAGAAGCAATCTCTGCAGCCCTCCCGATACCAAAACCTGACCACTCAAACCCAACACATATTGATAAACTGTAGAGTAACTAATGAACATTTGGGTAACTAATGAACTGCTAGTTTATTTTCTTATTAAAAAACCAGCAACTTCTATGTCAATCAAAAATTCTCTTTAATGTTAATGTATTTTAAATGGTCTGTTTGCATATGATATTTTGTGATGCTTAAAGAAGATTTCTAAACTGAAACTGTGAAATTTTAATGTAGGTTGCAGCCATAGAACAGCTGGAAGAAAGCAAAAACACAATAGAAAATCTTTTGGATTGGTTATCAAATGTGGATAAGGAAGCGGAGCATGGCCGGAGATTTAAGAAAGTTATAGAACAGAATGGAACACACTTTGAAGAAGGAGATGTGCAAGTTTTGGAAGGAGAGGAGGATGATGTCAATGGTAATCTGCTGGAAATGCAGCCAGACATTGAAACTCAGGTGGATGGACTAGTAAAAAGCACAGATGATAATCTGAACCAGCAGTATCAGAAAGTCAAGGTACTGTTTTTACTGGATGTGTTCAATATTTAAGTGCTAAGCATATTAGTTCTTATTCAACATAAGTAAATTCAATCTCATCTGTTCTGTCATGGGCTTTGGAACAGAGACTAGGAAGATTGTGATACATAGTGGTAGGAATTTCAGTAGTTAGAATGTATTGCACATTTATTAGCTTTTTTGCTGTTACTATAGTTGTTTCCTGCAGCTAAATGTAAAGAATTTTTGTGGTAAGGCTATTATTATTTTGTATTTTGAGAAATTAATGCAGGTAAATAAAATGCAAAAAGTAGCAATGTGAACTCATACCCTTTATGTGACTTTTCCAAAAATCTTTGTGATAGCCAAATTATGCAAATTAGCCCTGGAATCACCTGTAAACACTGATTGCCAGTGGCTGCAAATGGTAGTTTACTGAAATTACTATCTTCATTCCTCATAACTTTAACACATGGGCAAAGCAGTATTTGAAGGCTTCAGAAGGGTGAGTTACATAAAATCACAATGCGCCATTTTAAAAATAGATTTTCCAGGTAAGGAAGCATTTAGAATAATAAGAGATCAGTTTTTTTGGTGTTTGTTGACTTACAGTTGAGAAACCCAGAACATTTCATCATGGCTAGGCTTCGCGAATGAAGATTTGGGAAGGCTCTATCCATGTTTGTTACAAGCGAGCTGGTGGCTAAAAAGGCCAATACGAGACAGGCACGTCCGGTTGCAAAAGGTACAGCAGAAAGACTCCTTAGGTGGTAAATTCTGCAAGGCACGGTTCTTTCTGCGTTGCCTTTTCTCCTCAAGAGTGATCCTGCATGCGTTCTCAAAAGCCTCAGCAGCGTTATAGATGGTGTGTCTCCAGACCTCCTGACTGGAGGCCAGAGTAGACCAGTTATGATGATCAATATGGCCAAGGCTGAGATGTTGTTTCAGGGAGTCCTTG